AGATTAAGAAGATTAAAAGTTGAGTGATCTTGGATTTTCTTTTTTGTTATTGTTTAGCTGCATATTATAGTTCAGAATTTTGGTATTACTTTTAATTTGGCAGGTGTTTGATGGGATTGTAGTGATAGTGTCATTTTCTTTGGACATTGCCTTCAGGTTTGTGTAGACAGCTTATATTTGATGATTGCCTTTTACAAAAGGCTCATGGATGACTTATTACAAAGAGTAGGTTAATTGTTAATGATGGTCAGCTTTTTCTAATTACAGTGGAGAGGAAGGAGCTGTTGATGGAGTAAGTCTAATTGTTCTTCTGCGATTGTGGCGAGTTACAAGAATCGTAAATGGTAAGTCAGATTTTACATTTCAGGCCTTTTCAAAACATTAATGTTTTGCTCAAAACTTGTAGTCTGGTGATCATGCAGGAATATTTTCAGATTGTTTATCTACATAATACAGTGTATACGTACTGCAAGTGTAACAACAACATACACCTTACTTTCCCCACTTAATTGTGTGTGTTGATTAGCTACAATTTACTGTTTATGTACCGTACAAGAGGGGATGTATAATGTTCTCCTATGAAGCTTTCAGTCATGGTGTGGAACATGAGTTATAGCTCTGTGTTGTAAGCACAACCCACCTTACACCCACCCCCTCACTCCCTTCACATAGTCATTTGCCCAGGTTTGATTCAGGCTAGTTTCCATACAATGCTCCAAGAGATACACCAACCTGCTTGAGGCATAATGAATGCAGGTGCCACAAAAGAGAATGATGAAAAAGAATGATCCACAGGCTCACAGGAGGCAGAGAACAAAACCTTTGTTCAATGTGATAATGTATCATATTTTACATTCCAAAAAAGGGAGTTTAATTTTTCCTTGTTACTTACTGCAGCTATGTTGTTTAGGCAACAAAAATTTTGCAGTTGTTTTAAAAAGTATGATATAGTTGAAAACTGGTTTGAAAGTTATGAATTGATACTACATATATGTTTACTGCCTTCATAATCAACAGGAATAGTACTTTCTGTCAAAATGCAAGCTGAAAGAAAAGTTAACGAACTAGAGAAAGAAAATAGCACATTAAAAGCAGAAGTTGAACATTTAAAGACCAAATGTGCTATGTTAGAGGTATGACCATATCTCTGATAACTAAAAACTAAATTAGGAAGGACCCATGATATAACATGCTGAATTCATGTTTATACATGTATGTCCCAGCATTGATTTTTATTTACTTATTTCTGTAAAAAACAAAAGCCAAGTAATACAGACTGCCCAAACAAATTACATTCTAATAAATTCCAATGAACCAATGCCCAAGATCTTTAGAACCCATGGGAGTACTCCAGATTCAAAGGCACAGGGATGATCGATGGATTGTCTTAAATTTAAAATTCATGATGTTTGGATTTTTTGAGTAAGAAGATTTTAGCAGAGACTTTTCCCTTTCCTAGTTGTTTTGCTAAAAGCATACATCGCTATTAATCAATTTAAGCCAGTATTATGGCTTGCGGGAATTTTTGTTGAAAAATCACATCTATAGCAGTGGCAGATCCAGACCTTCGGATAAGGGGGGTGGGGGCAGTCATCCAGACCCTGTTTAAGGGGGGGCTGGTTGTAAACAAAATTTTTTCTTGTCTAAAAATCAGGGGGAGCCCGGAGGGCCTAGGCCCCTCCCCTGGATCCGCCGCTGTAAAGGTACAACACTTTGCGTATAAACAAGGCTGGCTGCAGAGTGGGTGAGAGAACTCGCCTCACACCCCTGGTGGCCTGCTATTAAGTCCCTGTGCAGCCGCCATATGTGGGGTTAGTTTGGCTTGTTAGGTTCCAACCTTTTCTCTGAGTGCTTTATCCCTACCACAGTACTCTGGTTTTCCCTGAAACCAACATTTTCAATTTCCAACTCAATCTGGAATGCATGAACATCTTCAAACAGAGCTTCTACATTAGCAGCTGCTTGAAGACTGAAAGCCAATTGGTTTGCTACCCAAACTGGAAAACAATGGAAAACAATGGTACATGTAAACAATGAATTACCATTGTTTAAAAGAAAAAATCAGGAAAGACCTTACAAGCAGCTCCTACATTACCGCTCCCTAGTGTTTCTTGGGTAAATTATATGTACATTTTTAATTCTTTCTTCTTCTTTTTTCTTTTCTTTTTTTTTTTTTCGTCATTTCAGTCTGAATTAAAGACATTTAAAGGAGAGCCAAGTCAATAAGTAGACAAGTTACATTTGTGAAGCATAACAAGTGTTTAGATACGAAATAGACCGAATGTATTAAATTTTACAAATATACAGTGTACATTGCAGTGCAATTAGTAATTTTATGGGATGACACAATCAACAGGAGAGACTAAACTGACTAAAAAGAGTAAAAATTATATCGGCTCAAATGACAGCCCTTAAGCATAAATATTCGAACATTTTAAGAAAGCTTTCCTAGAAAAATCAGTATAATTATGTTATATTTTTATACAGGACAAAATCTTTAATGGCCTGAAACACAAATCAATGAAGACTAGATATGGCGGTATATGTAGCCTTTACATTGTAGTTATAAATATTAGCTACATGTAGCTTGTATGCATATCGGTAGTTAGCCTGTGTACAGACGCCCCCCAGGGGCATCCTCAGAGACCCAGGGGCCAGGCAGATATTGGGGCCGAGGGAAACGAGCCTAAACAGGCGCCAAAAAAATGGCGAGAAGAACGAGGATACCCCAGGAGAGGGGGGCGTCTGTAGACAGGCAAACCGGTAGAGGATCTATTAACCAAGCGAAGGACAAATTATTATTAATGGTGACAGGAATGACTAGAGTCCAATTTGGTCTGTAATCATGCAGACCGATTTTTTTAATCACGAGTTTATGATTACAGACCGAATTGGACGACACGAAGTTCTGTTACCAATTAATCATAACTTTCACAAAATTTGTGATATATAAGGCTCTTTTTTAAATCAAAACACAAGAAATTCCAAGATTTTTTTTGCTAACAGTGAAAAAAAAGCCATTTAAGCGTGCGCGCGATGGCGCGTACTATCCAATAGGGACCTTACGATCCGACAACGGCGACGTCCATGAAAACGTGGTTGAAAAACAGACTTCGCATCCTTTTAAACTTTTTCGAATTCGCCCTGTTATTAAGAAGACGTGAATTTTGATTGGAGCTGAAGAGAGGGGACCGCGCCCGAATTCAGACAGAGATGGTAGAATTTATCGCCTTGCCGTTCCCGTTCTCAAGTAAAATTAAAATTTGGTCATTTCACGTCGTAGTTATGCAGGGACTGCAAATAAATGTACAAAAAAGCGTGACGCACTGCAGCCTTTTTTTAGGTTGCCGTCGCCGTCGTAGTTTCGTTAAGGTGATGTTCCACGAGACGATTCGCAACGACGATTTTTAGCGCAACACAGCGTTGCTACATTGTTGTGACGTTGTTTCGAATAGTTACAACATTGTTCCAACATTACAACGCTGTGTTGCGCTAAAAATCGTCGTTGCGAATCGTCTCGTGTAACATGACCTTAAAGGTCCCTAATTACTTAAGCATGACGCGTACTGTCCAATTAAACTGTCTTATTAAGGCTGAAATCAGGGTAGCTGATAGCCATTCAGATTTTTCATGAATTTTCTTACAGTTATGATTAGAATAATAATAATAATATCAACATATAATGTACAATTTCCAAAAATGTGTAAAGAAATTTTAAGATTTTCGCATAGACTTTTAGAGAAATCAAGATATATTATATATTTTTGTGCAGAATGAATTTGAATTTAAAATACAGTGACTTTAATAGGTTTTATTCCTTCCATAGCAAAATCAGTAGGATTATTTTAATAACTGTGGGTTGATTTTTACACAGGAGTTATTTCTAAAAAAAATAAAATTTTTATTAGTGTTATAGCTGTCGTTTGTGTTTTTCGGTTTATGGCTTATAGAACGAGGAATATTTATATAACATTTAAAGCGCGCTAAATGACTCGAAAATAGGGAGGGGGGGCTAAGTAACCGGGGCGAAATGACCGGTTACGACTTAAACATACGAAAAAAAACGTTCATTTTCCAAAAGCCGTTTTCAGAACACTTTGTCCCTTTAGGCCCTTACTAAGCTCCGCTGTCACGTTCCTTCATCATCTTTCTGTTTTTCATTGAAAACAGAACTCGACTCAACCGTTTCAAATGCTTGTGTGGTCTTAGGCAACGTTCCTGAACATTGAATATAAGACAGTAAAAACAGCAGTATTCAATAGCAAAACAAAACGTTATCCTCTTGCACGTAGAGCAAAATCAATCAAACCGATAAACAGTTATCCAAAAGCAACTGAAAGAATTCTCGATAGAAACTGACGTTAATTAGTGCTAAGACCATTCAGTGCCGTAGCATGTGGAGGGGCCGGGGGGGGGGCTGCCCCCCCAATAATTTTGACTGGCAAGTTTAATTTGGTCAGCAGCCACGCCCTTCACGCTGCTCTTTGGTTCAATGTGTTCATTTCGGTTCGATAAAGCGTCAAAATTATTTAGTTATTGCTTCAATAAAGAAAAATTGCTGGAAATTAATGCCCTCTAAAGGCTGAAAATGCTATTTCAGGGACCAAATAATTCAAAATCTTCCGGGGGAGCATGCCCCCGGACCCCCTTAGCAGCTCCCGCCTTCGGCGCTCGTGATTTGCTCCCTCAATAAATCTAACCTTGCTACGACACTGCCGTTTTTTGTAACGGCTTTTGCGGTTCGTTTATCACTCTTAAGGTGGCTCGATGCAGTTTTTCAGGGTTAATACTTCGCAAGTTTGAGCATAAACTACGTCGCCATAAACAAAAATCTGGAAAATTGCCTGCTCAGTTGTATTAGATAAAGACGAAAATTTGTTATGATCAGGGTTGCAATGACATCGGAGTTGCCATAGCAACGAAATGACGCCTTTTTCTATTTTACTTTCAGAAGTATTTCTCGGGACCGGGAACTGTTCTTTCCAAAATCGTTCACGGGAGTTTTTTTCCTCTAATAGCCGCCTCGGTGTTCGTGAAGTTTAAGCGAAATCTGTAAGAGCGTTATCGAGATATTTTGGGATGAAGTTTGTATGGTTAGAAATGCGGTAAAAATGGTCAAACTTGATTTTCGGCCGTTATCTGTAGAAAAAAACCGCTTTTGACTTGCAGTTTCACCTCATAGCAGTTTCAATCTTCTTAAAAACCTGTGTGAAAGACCATGGGGATAGCTTCAGCCGATTGCTAGAAAGAAGGATTGGATTAGTATTCACCGAGGCGCTCTTGTTAGCGGTTTTAAAAACATTTTGGTCTACTTTAACAAATCGGTCTACTATAACAAATTAATTTCGTTGCTATGACAACCCCGATGTCATTGCAACCCTGATCATAACAAATTTTCATCTTTATCTAATACAACTGTGGCGGCAGTTTTTCCAAATCGTTATTTATGGCGACGTAGTTTATGCTCAAACTTGGGAGATATTAACCCTGAAAAACTGTATCGAGCCACCTTAAGAAATTCAGATAGCCTATTGCATTAAAAAATTCTTGACTATTGTCACAAATGTTTCTGAAAATATCTCAATAGTTTCGAAAAATAAACACATTATTATCTGCAAGCAGCAAACATTAAGCGTCTTATTTTTTCATAACTCCATTTAAAAATCTGCTGAATGAGGTATCTAGACTCGATAAGGAAGAACACAAATCTAAGACTTTAATTAGACTGGAGGAGAGACTCCATTGAATTAAAATGTTCAGACTACTCGAGATCAAGGGCAGTACGTCAACAAACTGTCAAATATGTGGATTGGATTAAGAATAATGATCACACAAGGAAAACACAAGGAAAACAGTTTAATTTCGATCACTGAATTTTCGCTAAGGAACGAAAAAATATTTGTAATAATTTTGTACTGTGAGAAATACTCGTTTTCAGAGTAAATGCAAAGTTGGAAGACCTCTAGAACAAGGAGCTAAATCTTAGCTGAAAAATACTTAATTCTTCTCGATTTCAGTGTTATACAAAACTTGAAATTATTCCGTTTGCAATGATCGGAGGCAGTCTCTCAATCAACTGATGACGTGTCCTGGGAAGCCAACAGTTGTTTAAACAAGGACAGTCTCACCAGCTGTCTCAAAGCCTGTTCACTGGAAGTTTAAGGTCCTTGAGTCACACCTGAGTTTCAACTGTATTGCCTCACCCTTCAGAGTTTCGTTCAGTTTTTTTTGAGAGAAATAACCATGATCAAACTCCTTTTCTTGGTGTTGGTTGCCGCGACGTATTTGGCCAAGGGGGGCGATCTCAAGAATCAGAATGCATCACAATCAAGTCAGCCACAGGTTATTCAAATGCTAATGACATTTTTCTGTGAGCTGGCCAGAAAATTAATTTTAGAATCCTTCGATCAGAAAACGTAGCGGTCTTTTTAGTTTCTCAACAGAGAGTGTCTAAAGCATTCATTACTGATTTATTGGACATTATTATATTTTAATATTAATTGATTATAGAGTTGAGCTCGCGCGGATTAACTGTATTAATTTCGTTAAAAATGTTTCAGTGCAGTGTCATCTTTCACTCGCGTAAAAAACAAACCATTTCTCATCGTCATGCAACGTCTTTACTCTGGGATTATTTTCAATTCTTTATGCATTCTTGCCATCCGGACAAGAATGTAAAATCTGCTCCCGTTTCTCTTTGAAATTAGCATCATGACACGTGTCAGTGTATAATAAAGGTTAGATCTTCCTCTCAATACTCGAAAACTTCTATATATACATGTATGTCTTTACTTGTTTTAGAACTCGATTACCATTAATTGACTTATTACAGTGGCTAACGTTTGTTGGTTTTCCTTTGTTACTTAGATACTGTTCTATCGGTATTTCACTCCCATTAAACTTGCAAGTGTTGCTACCTTCATCCATTACCACCATTCCCTCACGCCCCGAAATCTCACCTTCCTCAGCGCTCCTAAAAACTACTATCGGCTGATGATTGTTCCCCTGATCCAGCCAGCAGTTACCTCTGCAAATGCCAACCTTGTTATCAAGATGAACGTTGGCTTGGAAACAACAACATTTGGTGCAGGAGGGAGAGATCTTTCATTTGTTATTTCTGATGGCAGTCGCTTTATTGGCATGCTTACTACTGATAAGAATATCTACAATGGTATCACTCCTTGTCTTGGCATCGAGGGAACTGGTGGACCAACTATGAGTCACCGCCGTTCAGATTCTCCTCGCCCAAAACCAACTGAATCTTACTAACCTGGACGACTTGAGATCCAATTGAGCCTGTCTGACCGGTGGGGAACCTGTTTTATCTCGTTAGACGGAGGCTTCAGCAGAGAGATGATCTACCAGAACAAGCTGAATCCTGGCAACGGTCTGTTCTTGGAGATTTATGGCGATGAACCCAAAGATAAAGAAGGAATAAAGTATATCGAGATTACAATCCTTAAGGAGATGTAAACGTATCTCCGTACATCAGTTCAATACATGCAATGAGTTTTTAAAAGTAATGTAACCAAGATATTTAGATCAGTAAAAACACCAATAAGTCAACCAGCAGTTGTATTCAGAATCCATTTTTCTTTATCTCATAATTTGGACTTCGACCCAAACCCTGCTAATACCGATGTTTGTATCAAATAACTGACGTTATGACACTTTCTGTGAATTCAATTCAACCATGGCTAGCGATCCTTTCCATTCATAAACCTGGTACTCTGTGAACTAGATAGATAGATAGATAGATAGATAGATAGATAGATAGATAGATAGATAGATAGATAGATAGATAGATAGATAAGATAGATAGATAGATAGATAGATAGATAGATAGATAGACAGACAGACAGACAGACAGACAGACAGACAGACAGACAGACAGACAGACAGACAGACAGACAGACAGACAGACAGACAGATAGATAGATAGATAGATAGATAGATACGTATGGTTGACGGAAGAAAACAAGTAACTACATAAGTATCCCTACAAGCCTGTTTCGTGGTTGCCCACTCATCAGGGGATTTTAATGAGAATAACTTTACCATTACTTATATACTAGACTGATTTACATAATTTATTCAGTGCGAGGTTCGTTACATCAGTTGTTGCGCAAGAGGGCTTTGTTTCTGTGGCGGCAGGAAGACACGAGTTCATTACGTTTGTTAAGTGTAGAGAGTTCAGGTCGGCAGATGATAAGGAATTTTTTCTTTAAGACATAAGTTGCATCGTTTGCTTGAGCTGTTGTACGGCAGGTGTGAAGATAGAATGCGCCAGGCGATAGAGTAGTTGATGTTGTTTTCTTTAAGAGTCCAGACGTGTTTGCTGAGTTCAGTGGAGTTTCTGTTCTTCGCGTGACGGAATGATGACATGTGGTTTCTGTATCTTGTTTTGAAGTCGTTCGCAGTAAGCCCGATGTACGTTTCTGTCGTGTTGGTGTCTTTTCGTGTGACAGTAGCTTGGTAGATGACAGCAGGCTGAAGGCAGTTCCCGTTGAGCGGGCATGAGTTCTTTTGTCGGCAGTTGCATTTCTTGTTGTTGTTGTTGATGATGGTGGGGGCGGAGTCGGCGGCAGCGGTGGTAGCATTAGTCTTAGCATGGGCAGTCAAGATTCGTTTGTTGTGGTTGTCGATGATTTGTTTTGCGTTGTTCATGCAGCTGTAACTGATCTTGATGGTGTTTCTGTTAAAGATTTTGCGTAGCTTGTGGTCCTTGGGGAAGTGCTTGTCTATTAAGGCGAGGAATTTACGTCCAATGTTGGTACTGGTGTTCTTGCTAAAGGGTGGGTTGTACCATAGAATGTTATTGCGTTGTCGGTTTTTCGGTTTGCGTGTATGGGTGGGTTCGTAGTGAAGCGTGCAGCTGTATCCACTGTCGTCGAGTGCTTTCTGGTAGGCGGGCACGGCTTGGTCGAAGGAGGCTTTGTCGGATGAGAGAGATGATAAGCGTCTGTTGATACCTGCGGGAATGTTTTTTGTAGTGATTGGTGGATGGTTGCTCTCGTGGTGGACGTATTGTAATGTAGTGTTAGGCTTTGTATACGGCTGGAAGGTGTTACGGCTAAGGTTGAATGTGACGTCTAGGAAGTTGATTACTTGTTTGTTAGCTTCTATGGTGATGCGCAAACCGTTAGCGTTGAAGATGCGGCATATTTCTTTCTTGATGTTCTCAGTTTCTCTAGGCGTAGCGTCAGTGATGGCAAGTCCGTCGTCCCGGTAGAGTCCTACGTTGATGTTGAGGTTCTGTAGTTGTGAAAGGAGGAAGCTACCGACAAGTTCACATGTTTCAGCGCCGATAGATAGATAGATAGAAACTTAATTATTTATGTGTCAAGAAAGAAAAACTAGCCGAAGGGTAGGCCCTCTACTAATAGGGAACACCTATTTTTTAATTTTACCCTGCATAAAAACAATTTCTTCCCTGGATTTCATTTCTCAGCTATCTTTTTCCAATTTTTACTCATCAAGTGCTGATTTGGCGGACTTTCAGATTTTCCTCTTTGAAAATAACTGAATACTGTTACTGCTGATTGCCGCATTTAAGCAAGAATACAAGGAAAGAAACATTAAAATACAAAATTGTGGTTGATTTCGGGTGGCATATTGGAAGACATTTAAGACCGGCTATCAATTTTGAAGAATTCATATATTGTGCGTATGGTAATTTAATACACTTACTCCTTTGAAAATCAGTAGAATTTAGTGTTGACTAGAATGGGGCGCCGAATTTGTAAGTTGCTTTTAGCTATCTTTCTCGCTGTTTTCTTGGGAATGAGTAAAAATGAATAAAATCATTTTATGTGCTACTAAGAGACTAGCTAGTATAACAGAACTTTGTCCTTTCCGCTGCGAAAACTAACAAAAACCTCCTTCTTAGAGTCCATTGTATTGAGCAAGGACGGCCCAAATGTCCGGGCCAAATGTACAGACTATTCAAGATAACTGAGACTATGTCAACTAACTGTCAAAAGATCAAATATGCAGATTGGAACAGAATGCAAGGAAAACAGTTTAGTTTCGAAGAGATTCGCTAAAGGACGAGGCAAATACGGAAACTTGTGAAAAATGTATTTATTGTCAGTCATAATTACTCGTATTCAGAGTGAACACAAAGGTGTGGAAGGCCCCAAAAAAGCGCTCGCCTGAAATATAATCATTTTGATATCAATGTTTTAAAAACTTGAATTTATTCCGTTTGCTGTGAAGCAGTCCTCAATCCATGACGTGTCCTGGACTTTGACCCAAACCCTGCTGATTATATGAAATAACTGACGCTATGACACTTTCTGTGAACTCAATTCAACCATGGCTAGCGATCCTTTCAATTCATAAACCTGGTGCTCTGTGAACTAACATTTTACCCTGCATAAAAACAATTTCTTCCCTGGATTTCATTTCTCAGCTATCTTTTTCCAATTTTTACTCAGCAAGTGCTGATTTTGCGGATGACTACGTCCAGTGTTCGGCATTCATGCATTTATCTCAGGGTACAAACGTGGGATCATCACCAGCCACATGCACAAATGTGAATTTTCTAAACTTGATGGACTTGTAAATAAGGTTGGATGGCAAAATAACTCCCTGATTTTGGCGCCAAATTTAAGTGTTGTTTGTGTTAATAACAAAATTCTCGAATCTGATTGGTTCTCAGCAACCCTTGTAAATAAAGGTAATGGGACTGACTGGAATCTCCGGCGGTCTGCAATCGTACAAGTGATAAACAAAATCGGACGACGGTGTAGCGGAAGACCGATTTGTTAATCACGAGTATGATTTTTTAGCACCAATTAGACGACACGAAGTCCTGTCACCGATTAATCATAAGCATTACAATTTCCGAGAACACTATGCATGTATTCCTTTTTGTGAAAGAGCTTTTACTACCAATTATCCAAACTTAGGGAAACTATCACTGGCAGAGACACTGTCTAATGTTACAAATTCGTCCATTTTGAAAAATCCCCAATTTGGTAAGATAAGTGGTTGTTGTTATGGTTACAGCGATAAATTCTGTGATTGTTGTATCTGCATGTCTGATCAGCCAGCTGTCTGATTACAACCCTACACAATAACAAGTGAAAAATAAAGCAGTTAATTTACCAATTAAATTTGAGGAAATTGTAATGGTTATGATTAATTGCTTAATCATAACTATAGGAAAATTGTCAAATCTGATTGGCTATCAACTGCCCTGATTTCAGCCTTAATTGGACAGTTTAATAGGACAGTACGCGTCATGCCTAAGTAATTGGACAGTACGCGCCATCACGCGCGCGCTTAAATAGCTTTTTTTTTTTCACTGCTAGCAAAATAAAATTTCGAATTTCTTTTGTTTTAATTTTAAAAATAGCCTATTATATCACAAATTTTGTTAAAGTTATGATTAATTGGTAACAGAACCTTGTGTCGTCCACTTCGGTCTGTAATCATACTCGCGATTAGACACATCGGACGACCGCGTTTTTGTTAATCACGAGTATGATTACAGACCGAATTTGGACTCCACTCAGTCCTGTTACCATTACTAATTTGGCTAATTTAAACCAGAACTGTCCAATATTGACCTGTCCGATTAGAGGTTGCTTGCTTGTAATCGGACAGTCAACAGCCGATAAAAAATAGGCCTTTTGTAATAGTTGGTTACGTGATCGACTTTTTGTCAACATGAAAACAATTCTGTTTGGAATCTGAGTAGTTTTCGCAGGAACTGCCCGATCATATAAAAATTGGGTAACCTATAAATATTCAGCCCTGTATAGGTATCTCAAGTGTTGCGATTGCAATGGCAGCCGAAAATTAGAAGGATTTGTATGGGAAAAAAAAAAACTTGCCACCCAATCACGGTTGAGTGGCATTTCATACAAGAGGTCACAGAGCCTTGTAAGACTTGTAACTTTGGAAATTTTCAAATTGTCGTAATATCTGTCCAATCTTTCTTCCTCTGAAACCTCTTAATTCTCAACTCTAAACCCTCGTCTATAATTAATAAAAAAGCCTCTCTGTGATGAGCATTATCCGAGCATTTTAGTTACCCGTTTTTGGGGGAGACCGAGCAAGGCGCATTAAAATAGAGAACTTTAGTAGGGAAACAAAAGCGTAATGTCAGGGCATTTCAAGACTCCGCAGACGACCAGCAAAAACGATTTTAACCGCAGGGTCCAGGGGAGATGTGTTTGTCGTTAGAACATCAAACCCGTCGAAAACCTCTGAAAAAATGGGTTATTTTGATCGCGTTACGGTTTCGTTACACATTCTATAGACCGCAAACCAAGAGACTGAGGGCTCGCAAGATCGGCTTACAGTATAAAATACGGACTTGTCCTTTCTTTTACTCGGCACTTCGTGCCTTGGTCACCCTTCGGGCGACGTGCCGTGCGCCAGCGAGAATATGCCTTGCGGTTATTGATTTTCAAAAGTCGATCTGAGTCAGAATCGTTTACAGTAGATTTATAAAGATCCCATTGGGCTAATTAATCGTGCTAAGCGACAGGTATAGACATTTTTCAAGGTGAGACTTTAAATAAGTAATTCATTTATTCACACGATCAGCTCCTCTGGACCCTGTGTTTTACCGGGCTTTTTGTCGAAAAACATACGCACCCTTAGAGAGAGCCTGTTCACAGGCTACCGCACCCTAGGAACCCTTCATTTACTGCAACGGGCTGAAATGATTCTTTGCCACAGGACAGACTGGTTTTTATATTATATGGTGCTTATTTGGCTCAATTTCAGCTGGATTTTCTTTATTTACTGTTTAATGAGTCTGTAAAAACGTGTGTGTGTGTTAAACAAAAATAATCACGCTCGACTGGACATGATAAGTTTTCAAACATCGCATGCATAGAATTAACCAAAAACTTATATTAGGAGCAGTTGCATGACTTTGTCATCTTTCTTCTTTCACACAGTATGAACAAGTACATCACTGACATCTTCCTAAGTCAAGAGAGTGCAGCCGGTCATTTTTTAACCTGAGATCAGGTGTTATTTTTTTTTTATTTTTTTGCTTCTTTGCTTAAACAAATTACAGAGATAAAGGGAGAGGGCCTGATCGCAGGCTAGTCTATTTTTGGACTTTCGTAGCTAAAACCTTGAGGTACATTCATTTTGAAGCGTAACATTGCAATGTTCATCGTATTATTAAAATTTTCTTCTTTGTTGAAAAATAACTGAATACTGTTACTGCTGATTGCCGCATCTAAGCAAGACTGACAAGGAATGAAAAATTAAAATACGAAATTGTGGTTGATTTCGAGTGGCATCTTGGAAGACAAGACCGGCTATCAATTTTGAAGAATCATATATTGTGCGTATGGTAATTAAATATACTTACTCCTTTGAAAATCAGTGGGATTTGGTGTTGACTCGAAAGGGGCGCGAATTTGTAAGTTGCTTCTAGCTATCTTTCTCGCTGTTTTCTTGGGAATGAGGAAAAATGAGTAAAATCATTTGATGTGCTAAACTAGCTAGTACAACAGGACTTTGTCCTTTCCGACGATAACTAACAAAAACCTACCACTAAGAGTCCATGGTATCAGGGGCACCCAGCGACGGTTTCTTTTCAATACATTGATAACACATTTTGGTACCGTTTAGATGTCTAGAAATGCATTCTAAGCGACGCTATAAAATTTGTATCTGTTCGGTCATCCTAGGGGAACTTGAGTCTTTTCGAAATTATGTGGGGAATAGGTTAAGAAGGCCCACAACGTCCTCAGTCTTCACTTTCAGGTTTTTTTTAATCACAGTTTTTTCTTTTCTCCTACAAAAATAATCCACCTCTCACTGGCATCAATCGAGCGAACCCTAATCTATGGCACACCTTGAATAAACATGAGCTGATTGGCTAAAACGATATTGCTGACAGAAAGATAACAAAAGTACTCTATTTCACAACAAGACGCCTAAAGTCGTTTCCGTGGGATGCGTTAGGGAAACCGGAAAGATGTGTCATGTTATGAGCATCGATGAGTAGGTTACCTGTATGGGTTGGTTTAATGTGCTTATGACTGAATTTATAGTAGCCTGCGTGGCAGGCTACTATTTCTCCCCAATCCACATCCCCTTTTTGCTTCCTCCCTATCCCCTACCCCTTTCGACACCTGCTACGCAAGCTAAATTTATAGTTGTCAGTGGTCGCAAGGATGGAGTTGATCTTGTTTTGATCTATCGCTATGTAGTTATTTTCGTAGCACGATTTGGATAAGAAAAAGAAGTTATTTTGCATCAAAACAAGGTTTAGCCTTGTAACTTAAATTGGAATGTTAACGGAAACAAGTAATAGAGAACATGCGCATAATGCTCTCTCATTAACCTGAACAGGAACTATATGTATAAAGATAGGTCATATCTTGGTAGTAAGTGGCCACAGGTAACTTTTTCAAAGAGAAATAAACATTGTAGTTTTAGGTTAATGGAACAAAACAAAACAAAACATCCGCTTGCTTTATCCAGGGTCGAACTCAGGGTTACAAAGTTAGATAAAGTTCCAATGTTTTAATCCAAGATGAAAGTTTAATACCCCCGGCCAAGATGCTCCTGATACGGTCAAAAATTAATTGCAATGTGTTTCGAAAGTCTCAAAGTTAACATAGTTCCAATGATTATCCCTGATCCCAAGGTATAATAAGTTTACTAAGGTCCTGATCCGTGCCCCATCCAGAAGTCCAATCCATGCCACAAGCGAGTCGTCGATCGAAGAGGACAATATTTTCGCGATTTCACCGTCAATCGTCAAGGGTACGAGTTGAAATTTACGCGATTTAACCTCCCATCGTCAAGGTGCTTTCGATAAAAAAAGAAAAAAACTGCACTCTAGCTGTGCCCGGCAAAAACTGGCGAACTCCGAATAGAAAAACCTATCGGAAATCATGGCCCGCGACCAGACGCTACTAAAACCTTATGAAAAAGCTAGACCTAAACAAAAAAGAATCATGAAGGGAAGAAATAATTTGGCTTAGGTCGCCTTTCGTGACTTGCCAGTATCTCGAAGGATTTCGCTCGTTAACAAGCCATCCTAAACCACGAGTTCGAACGAGTAGTGGGAAAACTCAAGGGCGACAAATTTGGCAAGGAACGTTCTCATTTCGACTTTCTTCAGAGGAAGCAAATCGATTAAAAATCGATACAGATTTTGTACAATCTGATTGGTCGGCTTAAAAGAAGAGATAATCGATAAAGATTTTAGGCAATCCTATTGGCTTGCTTTGCAATCTTGGGTACAACAGAACCGGATTTTTACCGTGGAGTGCCACAGGCATCCCACGGAATAACAGGTGGAATAACGTGATCTTTGCCATTCAGATAAAAATAAACGCCTTCAAAGATTGGCAGCTCGTCACAAAATAAACATTAAAAACCCTATGCTATTATCGAGTTTCCGACAATTACAGGGGCTTCAGTATTATTTTCCCGAGACTTTTAAGAAGCAATTTGACGTATTACGAAAGTGAGACATTTTCTGATATCTCTCTCCATTGCACTGAGTTGGAAAATTTTAGGTTTCCCTTTCTCTACGAAAAAAAGCCTAACTTGGGAAGTGGAAGGTGGAAATATACTTCATATATACTTCAGAAAATCGTAGGGAATTTATTAGATAAGCTTCGAAAATTTTCCATGAGTGGAACGGTCATCCAGAAATTTTTAGCCGTCGCCAAGTAATAGAAAATTCTAGGCAATATTTGCTTCTCCGAACAGATATTTCACAGAAAACAGTCGTTGGGAGCCCCTGATGGTATTGAACAAGAAGGGCCCAAATGTTCTCGAGACTATTTATATTCAAGATAAAGGGGACTATATATGTTAACTAACTGTCAACAGGTCAACTATGCAGATTGGAGCAAGGCATCAAAACAGTTTTTTTTTCGAAGAGTTTCGCTAAATAACGAGACAACTACGGAAACTTGTAAAAATGTATTTATTATGATAATTGCTCGTATTCAGAGTGAATACAAGAGTAGAAGGCCCCAAGAGTGCGCTATTTCTTTGCCTGAAATATAATCATCTTGATCTCAATGTTTTATAACTTGAAATTATTCCGTTTGCTGTGAAGCAGTCCTCAATCAATGACGTGTCCCGCAAAGAAAACAATTTAAACAAGGGTAGCCTCAAAGTTACTATTCACTAGATGTTCAAGAGCCTCGAGTCAGAAATTAGATTATCAGAGCAAGTTCCGTCCAGTTTTTTGAGAGAAATAACCATGATCAAACTCCTTTTCTTGGTGTTGGTTGCCGCGACGTATTTGGCCAAGGGGGGCGATCTCAAGGATCAAAATACATTACAAAAAAGTACTTCACAGGTGATTCAAGTACTAATATTTTTCCAAGAGCTGGCCAGAAAAATTGATTTTAGAATCTTTCGATCAGGAAACGAAACAGTCATTGTAGTTTGTCAAGAAAGAGTGTCTTATGTAATAGAACACGGCAGAATTCATCGCTGATGTTCGATGGGACATAATTACAATGAATATACTAAGTATATTGTAGGGTTGAGCTCGTGCCAATATTAACTGTATTTATTAAGTTTTAAAAGTTTCGCTTTCATTTTTTACTCAAGTAAAAATCAAAATAATTTGTCATCTTCATGCAACTCCATTACTCACGATTATTTTCAATTCTTTAAGCTTTATTGCTATCCGTACAAAAATTTAAAATCTGCTTCCATTTCTCGTAGAAATTAGCATACATGAGTAGGTGTATAATTTGACTTATTATTATTGCTCGTTATCTTTCGTTACTTGGATCATATTCTATCGGTTTTTCACTCCCATTCCCGGGGGGGGTACTCGCAGAAAAATTGGGTAGGGGTGTGCGGCCTGCTTCCCAAAACCCTTACCCTATTTATGACCAAAATCTGCGATTTTCCCTACCCTATTTATGACCAAACCAAAAATTTGATACCCTATTTATGACCTGACCCTTAAATCAATACCCTGTTTCAGACCTGCCTTATAATTATTTCCCTAGTTCAGACCAATGTTAAAGGCAATGTTTATCTGCTTTTATTAGGTTAGGGGGACATGATAAGGAAGTAGCTTCTTCTAAAAAAGTGCATTCAAGACTACAGTGTAAAAATCGTTACCCTATTTATGACCAAAATGGCGGCAAAATAGGCAAAATCGATACCCAATTTATGACCAAAACGGCTGAAAAACCCTACCCTTTGGGGCCGCACATACCTATATAGCCCATATTAGGGAGTACCCCCCCCCCGGGCTCCCATTAAACTTGCAAGTGCTGCTACCTTCATCCATTACCACCATTCCCTCACGCCCCGACTTCTCACCTTCCTCAGTGCTCCTAAAGCCTTCTATCGCCTGATGATTGTTCCCCTCATCCAGCCAGCAATCACCACTGCTAATGCAAACTTTGTCATCAAGATGAACGTTGGCTTGGAAACAACATTTGGTGCAGGAGATAGCGATCCTTCATTTGTTATTTCTGATGGCAGTCGCTGTATTGGCGTGTTTACTTATGACAAGAATAACTACAAAGATTCCGCTCCTTGTCGTGGCATCGAGGGAGCCAGTGGACCAACTATGAGTCACCGTCGTACAGATGCTTATCTACCCAAACCATCTGAGTCCTACTATCCAGGAAGGTTTGAGATCCAGTTGAGCCTGTCTGACCGGTGGGGAACCTGTTTTATCCCGTTAGACGGAGGCTTCAGCAGAGAGATGATCTACCAGAACAAGCTGAATCCTCGCAAAGGCCTGTTCTTGGAGATTTATGGCGAAGATGCCAAAGAAAAAGAAGGAATAAAGTATATCGAGATTACAATCCTCAAAGAGATGTAAACTTATCCCCGTTCATCAGTTCAATACATGCTATGAGTTTTTAAAAGTAATGTAACCGAGATATTTAGATCAGTAAAAACACCAATAACTCAACCAGCAATTGTATTCAGAATCCATTTTTCTTTATCTCATAATTTGGACTTGGACCAAAACCCTACTAATACCGATGTTTATATGAAATGACTGTCGCTACGACACTTTCTGAGAATTCAATTCAACCATGGCTAGCGATCTTTTTAATTCATAAACCTGGTACTCTGTGAACTAACATTTTACCGTGCATAAAAACAATTTCTTCCCTGGATTTCATTTCTCAGCTATCTTTTCCCAATTTTTACTCAACAAGTGCTGATCATGATTTGGCGGATGACTACGTCCAGTGTTCGGCATTCATGCATTTATCTCAGGGTACAAACTTGTCACCTAACAAGTGGGATCATCACCAGCCACATGCACGAATGTGAATTTTCTAAACTTGATGGACTTGCAAATAAGTTGGCTGGTAAAATTACTCCTTGACTTTGGCGCCAAATTTAATTGTTTGTGTCAATAACAAAATTCTCGCATCTGATTGGTTCTCAGCAACCCTTGTATATAAAGGAAATGGGACTGACTCGAGTCCAATCTCCGGCGGTCTTCAATCGTACAAGTGATAAACAAAATCGGACGACCGCGTAGCGGGAGACCGATTTGTTAATCACGAGTATGATTACCGACCGAAGTCACCGAACTGGACGACAAAAAGGCCTGTTACCAATTAATCATAACCATTAGAATTTCCGAGAATACAAATGCATTGCTTTTTGTGAAAGAGCTTTTAATACCGATTATCCAAAATTAGGGAAACTATCACTGGCAGAGACACTGTCTAATGTTACAAATTCGTCCATTTTGAAAACAACCCTCGTATATAAAGGTAATGGGACTGACTCGAGTCCAGTCTCCGGCGGTCTGCAATCGTACAAGTGACAAACAAAATCGGACGACCGCGTAGCGGGAGACTGATTTGTTAATCACGAGTATGATTACAGACCGAATTAGACGACACGAAGTCCTGTCACCAATTAATCATAACCATTACAATTTCCGAGAATACTATGCATGCATTCCTTTTTTTGAAAGAGCTTTTAATACCAATTTTCCAAAATTAGGGAAACTATCACTGGCAGAGACACAGTCTAATGTCACAAATTCGTCCATTTTGAAAAATCCCCAATTTGGTAGGGTAAGTGGTTGTTGTTATGGTTATTGCGATAAATTCTGTGATTGGTGGATTTAGCTGAGTGCACTTAGTATGGTTGGATGATGTAACTGTCCTATTACAGCCAACTGTCTGATTACAAACCTACACAATAATTAGTGAAAAATAAGGCAGTTAATTCACCAATTAAATTTGAGGAAATTGTAATGGTTATGATAAATTGCTTAATTTGGCTGATTTAAACCAGAACTGTCATGAACTGTCCAATATTGACCTGTCCGATTAGAGGTTGCTTGTAATCGGACAGTTGGTGAACAGCCGATAAAAAATAGGCCTTTTATAATAGTTGGTTACGTGATCGACTTTCTGTCAACATGAAAACAATTCTGTTTGGAAACTGATTAATTTTCGCAGGAACTGTATGATCATATAAAAATTAGGTAACCTATAAATATTCAGCCGAGTATCTCAAGTGTAGCGTTTGTAATGGCCGCAGAAAATTAGAAGGATTTGTATGGGAAAAAAAAACTTGCCACCCAGTCACGGTTGAGTGGCATTCCATACTGAGTGGTCACAAAGCCTTGTAAGACTTGTAAATTTTGAAATTTTCAAGGTGTCGTAGTATCTTTCCATTCTTTCTTCCCCTGAAACCTCTTAATTCTCAACTCTAAACCAATGCTTTAGAATTAATAAAAAAGCCTCTCTGTGATGAGCATCATCCGAGAATTTTAGTTACCCGTTTTTGGGGGAGACCGAGCAAGGCGCATTAAAATAGAGAACTTTAGTAGGGAAACAAAAGCTTATAATGTCAGGGCATTTGAAGACTCCGCAGACGACCAGCAAAACGATTTTAACGGGCTTTTTGTCGAAAAACACCCGCACCCTTAGAGAGAGCCTGTTCACAGGCTACCGCACCCTAGGAACCCTTCATTTACTGCAACGGGCTGAAATGATTCTTTGCCACAGGAGAGACTGGTCTTTATATTATATGGTGCTTATTTGGTTTAATTTCAGCTGGAGGTTCTTTATTTACTGTTTAATGAGTCTGTAGAAACGTGTGTGTGTGTGTTTTTTAAAATTATTTATATTTCCAAAGACAAAACTAATCACGCTCGACTGGACATGATATGCATAGAATTAACCAAAAACTTATATTAGGAGCAGTTGCATCTTTGTCATCTTTCTCCTTTCACACAGTATGAACAAATACATCACTGGCGTCTTCCTAAGTCAAGAGAGTGCAGCCGGTCTTTTTAGGACTTTCGTAGCTAAGACCTTGAGGTACATTCATTCTAAAGCGTAACATTGCAATGTTTATCGTATCAAAATTTTCCTCTTTGAAAAATAACTGAATACTGTTACTGCTGATTGCCGCATTTAAGCAAGACTGCCAAGGAATGAAAAATTAAAATACGAAATCGCGGTTGATTTCGAGTGGCATATTGGAAGACTGAAGACCTGCTATCAATTTTGAAGAATTCATATATTGTGCGTCTGGTAATTAAATATACTTACTGTTACGGCCGCATTCCACGTCAATATGTTTAGCGTTTAGTTCTTTGTATAGTTGCACATTCCTTTCACATTCTTTTCAGTTATCGCTATTCATATTCTGTTATATTTCTCTGCATAAGTTTCTTTGTTCTTCGATCATTTTGTAAGTTTCATCGTTTATTCTAATTCATTTCGCTTTAGCGTTCACGGCAACATCATTGCAGTTTTTTCGTCCAGTCTTGTTAGCCATCGTACCTTTTTTCCGTTCAACTTTCTAGTCACACAACGTTTGTAAGTATTTTCGCTTAGTTTCTTTCCGTTTCCTGTATTTTCGTCGTTTCATAGCTGTAATTTGTATTTTTTGTTTCGCTTTTAGCAACCGTAATCGTAATTCGTTATAACTGTAATAAAGACGAGTTGGAACTGTGGACCATCCTTGGATTATTCGCTATAATACTTACTCCTTTGAAAGTCAGTGGGATTTAGTGTTGACTCGAAAGGGGCGCGAATTTGTAAGTTGCTTCTAGCTATCTTTCTTGCGGTTTTCTTGGGAATGAGTAAAAATGAGTAAAATCATTTGATGTGCTAGACTAGCTAGTATAACAGGACTTTGTCCTTTCCGGCGATAACTAACAAAAACCTACCACTAAGAGTCCATGGTATCAGGGACACCCTCCATAATACATTGATAACACATTTTAGGCTATCTAGAGTACCGTTTAGATGTCTAGAAATGCATTCTAAGCGGGGCTATAAAATTTGTATCTGTTCGGTCATCCTAGGGGAACTTGAGTCTTTTCGAAATTACAGGGGCTTCAGTATTAATTTTCCGAAAACTTTAAGATGCAATTTGACGTATTACGAAAGTGAGACATTTTCTGATCTCTCCCTCCATTGCAGTTTTGAGTCCGAAAATTTTAGGTTTCCCTTTCTGTACGAAAAAAAGCCGCATCTTGTTTACTGTTGGTAGTGTCGACCGATATATCGGTCGATATAGCGATCGACAGTCGGTCGATAGTCGGTCGATAGTCGGTCGATAGTCGATCGACAGTCGGTCGGCAGTCGGTCGCTAGTCGGTCGATAGTTCATATATACTTCACAAAATCGTAGGCAATTTATTAGATAAGCTTCGAATTTTCCATGAGTGGAACGGTCATCTAGAAATTTTTAGCCGTCGTCAAATAATAGAAAATTCTAGGCAATATTTGCTTCTCCGAACAGATATTTCACAGAAAACAGTCGTTGGGAGCCCCTGATGGTATTGAACAAGAAGGGCCAAAGGTTTGAAGGGCCCAAATGTTCACGAGATTATTTATATTCAAGATAAAGGGGACTATTAACTAACTGTCAACGGGTCAAATATGCAGATTGGAGCAAGGCATCAAAACAAAATACAAGGAAAACAGTTTAGTTTCGAAGAGCTTCGCTAAAAGAACGAGACAACTACGGAAACTTGTAAAAAATGTATTTATTGTGATAATTACTCGTATTCAGAGTGAATACAAAAGTGGAAGGCCCCAAGAGTGCGCTATTTCTTTACCCGAAATATAATCATCTTGATCTCAATGTTTTATAACTTGAAATTATTCCGTTTGCTGTGAAGCAGTCCTCAATCAATGACGTGTCCCGCAAAGAAAACAATTTAAACAAGGGTAGCCTCAAAGTTACTGTTCACTAGATGTTCAAGAGCCTCGAGTCAGAAATTAGATTATCAGAGCAAGTTCCGTCCAGTTTTTTGAGAGAAATAACCATGATCAAACTCCTTTTCTTGGTGTTAGTTGCCGCGACGTATTTGGCCAAGGGGGGCGATCTCAAGGATCAAAATACGTTACAAAAAACTACTTCACAGGTGATTCAAGTACTAATATTTTTCTAAGAGCTGGCCAGAACATTGATTTTAGAATCTTTCGATCAGGAGACGAAACAGTCTTTGTAGTTTCTCAAGAAAGAGTGTCTAAGATAATAGAGCACGGCAGCATTCATCGCTGATGTTCGATGATTTATTGGACATAATTACAATGAATATACTAAGTATATTGTAGAGTTGAGCTCGTGCGAATATTAACTGTATTTATTAAGTTTTAAAAGTTTCGCTTTCATTTTGTACTCCAGTAAAAATTAAAATAATTTCTCATCTTCTTGCAACGCCATTACTCACGATTATTTTCAATTCTTTAAGCTTTATTGCTATCCGTACAAAAATTTAAAATCTGCTTCCGTTTCTCGTAGAAATTAGCATACATGAGTAGGTGTATAATTGACTTATTATTATTGTTCGTTATCCTTCGTTACTTAGATCCTATTCTATCGGTTTTTCACTCCCATTAAACTTGCAAGTGCTGCTACCTTCATCCATTACCACCATTCCCTCACGCCCCGACTTCTCACCTTCCTCAGCGCTCCTAAAAGCCAATATCGCCTGATGATTGTTCCCCTCATCCAGCCGGCAGTCACCTCTGCAAATGCCAAACTTTTCATCAAGATGAACGTTGGCTTGGAAACAACATTTGGTGCAGGAGACAGTGATCCTTCATTTGTTATTTCTGATGGCAGTCGCTTTATTGGCATGCTTACTCTTGACAAGAATAACTACAAAACTTCCGCTCCTTGTCTTGGCATCGAGGGAGCCAGTGGACCAACTATGAGTCACCGCCGTACAGATGCTCATCTTCCCAAACCATCTGAGTCCTACTATCCCGGAAGGTTTGAGATCCAGTTGAGCCTGTCTGACCGGTGGGGAACCTGTTTTATCCCGTTAGACGGAGGCTTCAGCAGAGAGATGATCTACCAGAACAAGCTGAATCCCGGCAACGGCCTGTTCTTGGAGATTTATGGCGATGACACTAAGGAAAAAGAAGGAATAAAGTATATTGAGATTACCATCCTAAAGGGGATCTGATCTTTACCGTGAGTGTACATGAGGTCAAGACAGTTAAGCACTAGATCAATAAAAAATCAACAAAAGAGAGCTCAACGTGTTTTGGAAATAGCAATTAAAAAGTCTTGAACCTCAGCTATGAAGTGTATTCTATTGTTTTTCTAGGAACCATAAGGGCTTAATCCTGTGTCACCAATTATATAACATATTCGACTTGAAAAATACCACCATTCTTGGTTCATTAGCTTTAGCTGCAGCTTACAGCGCCTGGCGAGAAAAGAAGTCTGACGCATGTCAAGTCTTTCTCCTGACAATCACAAACACGAAAAACCACTTATAAATAAAGTCGTGGGGCTAGCGCATATCAAGAAAAAATGTGTCCTTTGTGTTCAAACAACTAATAACATACCACACACTTTCACCGTTTGGCGCGAATTTGACGAGGAAGCAAGAGGCCTTTTGAGCTTTTTATGTAGTGCTCAATCCTGGCGTCTAAAATTTTTCATGCAGAACTCAATCCAGTGATCTGCTGTGTTTTGTTGGAGTCAAGTATCATACAAACGTCATGCTTAGTGTGCGCAAATTCAGTTTCGGTCAGGTACCATCGAGATATGTAACACTAGAGCCATGTTTCTTGATGAAATGTGTCTTGATGAAGACAGAGTTGTTCAGTACAGTTTAACTAAAAAAGGATAACAGTACAAAACAGTAGGATAGGTTGGACTTGTCCATTCCGAAAAACCCCTGTGTCAAGTGACACTTTGTTTCCATTTTTCCTCTTACTAGTCCCGCTCACCATGAATGAAGACCACTTCTAATTCAGTGTACTTTTAATTCAAAAGTTAAAATAATTCAACAGAACAGGCTCCTGGTAGAAAACGTTTTTCGCGGTAAAGACTGAGCGGTAGACAACTAAATTTCTGTATACGCTCCGGTAACGACATTTCTATCAATATTTTGTTCCCCCAAGGAGGGGGGCGTAAGGGGGGTACGAATACCGCAATACCGCACATGGTAGCGCGAGAATACCGCAATACCGCATCAAAATTTAGCCAAATACCGAAACCGCAGTTACAAATGGGAAAAAGTTGACATAGTCAATACTACAAATCCTCCTTTCAAATAGAAATAATACTTTTATGTCAGTGTTCCAAATCATGGTGCGTCGATGTCAAGTGTACGATAAACAGAAGATCATCGCACTCGTTTAACATTGTTCCTTACATGTAAGCGTTTGCGTAAATGATACAACAGGAGTTTTCTAGTATTACTCAGGAGCTCCTGGTATTACTTTATATATTACTGACCTGGATCATAAACGGACGGATGACAGTTGACTCTTATGAGGTTGTTTCAGATTCATTGTTAACTCGGTTCTGTGTGGAGGGTTTCAAAACGTCGACCCCGGCTGCCTTTTGGATTCGAAGGGCACACAGCACCGGGGGGTACTCCCTTGCAAGAGGCTAATAGGGATGTGCGGCTTAATGGGGTCGCATTTTCACGACTGGAGTGATTATAATGGGGTCGCATTTTCAATAGATTAACTTAATGGGGTCGCAAATTTTCGGATTTTTGGGATAGGTAGGGATTCAAATGGAAAGATTCTCGGTTAAATATCAGGAAGTGGTTGTTTATTAAATTTAACAATAAGCTTGCATTGACCGCATTACATTCCGCCGCTTGAAGCTAAATAATGAAGGCAGGCGCGGGCGAGGAGATTGGGGCGGGAGCTGCTGCGCCGCTCACAGTCGTGCTGCCGACAAAACCATGTAAAACTCCCATGGGGTACTTGGGTTAATTTTTACTTGGTATGTGCCACTGGCCTCTCAGAGCCCCTACCCCATTATAGCCTATTCTGTGGCCAATTATAGGCCACATCTTAGTCACTTTTGAAGAACTGTTTTACCCCAAAAAAGCAGAACATGTGCGACCCCATTCTAGTAACTCTCTACAAATGTGACCCCATTATAGTCAATCCAGTCGTGAAAATGCGACCCCATCCAGCGGCACATCCTCATTAGCCTCTAACAAGGAAGTACCCCCCCCCCCCCCGGGCCGCCATGGCACGTATGCTAAGCACACACGAATACTAGTACATTCTATATTCCTGGATGCACAACGAGAAGGACGAGTATTAATTTTTAGATCACATCATCTTCATGGATTATCTTTCGACACTACACAATTTATAACGACCTCACTGACCTCACTATTTGCTGGAATATCTAACTGATCACTTAGTTGACCCTCTGGATCGCTCGCCATTTTTTTGCGACTAGCACGAAAGTGGTGGTAAGATTGGTAGGGAGGTTAAAAGCTGACTGTTCCCACAATGTCCATGAGGTCATAAATAATGCGACATGTTTACGTATCATTGGATAAAAAAAGTTAATGTTGTTAATCATATCAAGTATTAACTGAAATTACAAGCCATACGATTTGTCTGCACTGTTTGCGCAATACGATCCCTCACTGTGCAACTATAGGAAGACACGCAGGCTAGCTAGCGAGACCTTTTAGGATTTGTATCCTCTTGTCATGAAAAACAAGCAGATCACCGCGACACAACGATTTTTTCACCGACTACCGCGACATAAAATTTAAACTTACCGCACACTGCTTGGACTCTGAAAACCGCAATACCGTACTTTGAAATAAAAATTACCGGAACACCGCACCAAAAATAACCCAATACCGCAATACCGCAAACCCTTACGCCCCCCTCCCCAAGGGCTAAGCTTTCAGGTGTTTCCCGATTTGAATCATCTCACCCAGCCTGCTCTCAGTGCAGAATCATCTCATTACTTTCTCTGTTTGGGTCCTTCGAAGGCTGGATAAATCTAAATGATTCTGGGTAACTTTCCGATAGCCTGTGACACGCGCAGAAACAATTCCGCTAGCAACACTGGCTAACTTTCTGATAACTTTGCTGCTTTAAAAGCTCTCTTATAGGAACAAAATGAATTCGTCACGCATTGCGGACGTACAAATGTACAGCGACTCGCTCTCGAGCGTGGTCAGCGGACTAAATATTTTGGCGGGAAGGGATCGAAACGAGAGCGCTGACAGAGTTCGAGAAGAGAAAACTAAAATGTCGATAACATTCGAAAACGATATTGCCGACGAAGGCGTAGGAAACGAACTCGGTCTTTTTGATGACGATGATCCGTTTAATCTTCCTCCACCTTTACCTCCTCTGTCGCCTCAACGAGATGACGATCCATTCAACCAAAATGGCGACAAAGATCAAACTAATGCCGACGACAAGACAGAGGCAAATAAAAAACGAAGAGTGAAGAGATTGCCGAGACCGAAGTTAGACGAAGTTAGGTAAGTGTCGCTAGTTGTGTTGCAGTTCTACTGAGCATTCGTTGGGATAGGAAGGGAATGTAATCTCCTGATTGATCACGATCAGATCGTGTCGTAAGTTTGATAGCGAGTAGTGCGAGGTTTAATTGCTCTATCCAGCTCTATTGGATCTTATATCCATCCTCTTTCCTAGAATAAGCTTACTTAATACAGCTAAAAAGGAGGGTGGTTGTGTTTATATGAATCGAGGTGAGCTTTGGCATTGTGTTAACCATATGCACAGAAGAACAGAACCAATTTTGATTTCTGCACTTCCCCTCACCCACCCCCCAAGGTTCTGGAGAGAATGCTGGCATTGACGGTAGTAAAGTTTAGATGTAGAGATACTGTAGAGGATTTGTGACCAGTCCCTGTTTTAAGAGTAAAAGAAACTAAAACCCCAACCCCTTAATAAAGCAATATTTGGTCAAGAACCTTGAAACACTCAGCTTTGGATATACCGCTTGTCCCCAATCCACTCAGTCCATATTCATCAGGCCCTGGTTGTTCTAAGGTTGGATAGCCCTATCCTCCGGATAAATCACTATCCAGTGGAGAGCGTAATTGATTTCCATAAAACTTATCTGCTGATAGTGATTTATCTGGTGAATAGCGCTATCCAGCATTTGAACATCTGTAGCCTGCGTAGCAGGTACTTGGAAGTAGTGGGTGCAAGAAAAAGTGGACACAGGAAAAGGAGACACGCGAGCGGAGAGGGAGCGTTCCCTCACCCCTCGTGTGTCTCCCTTGCGTGCACCCATTCTAATTGCGCCCACTACTTTCAAGAGCCTGCTACGCAGGCTAGAATATCTGGGGCCAGGTCCTCCATCCCTTGTCTGTCTCCTGCCCTTATTCTCTACTCTCCTGACTTATGCCGCATTTAGAGTCACTTGCTTGTTTCCTCCATGAATACATGTTGGTGGGGTGGTATTATTTTAAAAAATCATGCAGAGAAACGTTCCTTTGTTGAGCACATCCTTCCCCAAGATCTTTGCAATGGGGTAAATGGTGATAACATAAGATAAAAATTTTATGGTGAAGTTAGCACAGCTGGGCAGGGACATTATTATCAGTTAAAGAACTCTGACAGTATCTGTACCCAGAAATTAAGGCACTGGAGGACAGATTTTACCAAGGATTTTATAAATTTTTAACACAGTTTCAGACAAAACAGAGGCTACCCCTTGGGTGGTTTGACTTCTAATACACCTTTGATAGCCACCAGAAAAAGAAATTTAATATATTAGTAGCTCAGATATTGTTGTTGTTGTTGTTGTTGTTTTCTTTGAAGTGTTAAAAACCTGAATTAAACGTTATAGGTTGTGTAGCGATCGTGGAATTCCTGCTCTGCAGCATATTTGTGATGGCATCAAGTTCAAAGGCAAAGGACACGAGGTAAGAAGGACAGCAGCATGAGTCAAGTGTCATATTTGTTTGTAAAAGTTGTAATGAAGCTGTTACCCGGTGTCTAGAAAACTGATTGCTAATCAATTCTCACATCTCAGGATAGCATGAAGTTTTAACTGTGAAGAGGTTTCACTGAGTTTTCTTTTTCTCAGGCAAGTGATCTCAAGCTTCTGATGCAGCGTTATGAGCACTGGGCGCATCGCTTGTTTCCAAAGTTTCCGTTCGCAGATGTTGTAGATCAAGTAGAAAATTTGGGCAATAAAAAGCTCGTTCAGGTATGACAAGGAAAAAGCTGTTAACTTTCCAGAGAGAGTCCTGAGGAGTAGCAAATGTTAAATCCAAGATGCCAAGATCCTTGTTGGCTTTATGAATAACCCATCATTGATCAGTGCTGAAAGTGTCCTTATTAAGCAGGTTGAGTTGGCAGCAAAGAAAGTCCTGTCCAATAAGCCAGTGCTAGTGCATTTTGCTATCGGGCTAGTGAATTCTGTTCTTAACTTTTCGATGGGCAAATTACTGAAGAACTGTTATCAATCCTGCTCATCAAAATACTTTTTTTTGGGGGGGGGGGCTACTTAAAATGACTCTTGGGCCAGTACATGCTAAATCTAACTACAGCTTGTCCAAATGGCGAGCTGTAAAACTGACTTTCTTTGCACCCGGTGAGCTTGGAGAAAATGTAAGGGCTTTCTTTCTCTAGGGACAAAGCAAACAGTCCATAACATTGAGGTGTCCATGTAAAGCGGGTGTCTGTAAAGCAGGATTTGACTGTATCACTTTGCTAGGTAAAAATGAACTCTGTTTTCTCCTTGTCCCTTGTTCAGCAGCTGGCGCCATCTTAGATTGACAAAAATTATGCATTCACTACCCAATCCAGTCCATCCATCCATACCAAAACAAGTAGCTCTTTGCTTACAATGTCATGATTCTAACCTTTGTGAGATTTGCAACACAATAAAATTCTTGTTCTGGTACAGCAATCAGGATAAACTTGCACCAGAATGACTTGTTCCAGTATTGCATTTTCTGCTGTTATCATGTAAACAAATACAGAGCCATGAGGGGGAACTGGGTTAAACTAGCACTGGTATCATATTAACATACCCTTGTAATCTCTCAGTCTCATCATTGATTGAGCTTGAACAATACAACCTTTATCTGAAGGCTTGAACAACATAACCAAGTTTATAATCCTTGTAGAACTGTCTCAAAAGAATCAGGAGAGGCGAGGAGGACAATGTTGATGAAGAGGACAAGTCGGACACAGAAGTTGGACAAAATATTTATGGTAAGAGTATTGTCGGTACTCCCTTTCTAACGAAAAGTGTTAAAAAGGGCATAAGTCAACTTTATATAATCTGACTCATTGCCACATCATGCAAATTGGTTGAGTGACTGATTGATTACAGACTTTTCCGGTGATATATTTAGTGGTGGATGTTCCACAGGTTGCATAAAGGTCATAACAAATATTGTTCAGGACTCCCACTAAGGGCTTGAAGTCAGGATTTCCTCTGGCTACTATGAGCATGAACCCAAACTATTTTCATAGGAAACAAAAGGAAAAAATAAGACCAAAGAAAACTGCTATTCTCTTCAACTGTCCATGCACTGATGAAAACTGCATAGACATGATGTGATAGCCCTGCATGTAATGTTCCTGACAGCTAATTTCTGATGTTCAGCCCAGTCAAATTCCTTATGTGAAAATGCCAGTCAGCAGGACTGTTATGTGTGACCATGTGTCATTTTTCAACTGCCCCTTGGATATCACATGCACTGAAGGGTGGAAAACAAAAGAAATGAGCTTCATCTCCCCTTTCATAGTAAATGGAGCTGAAATGGAGGCCTCAATTAAAAGTTGACTTGTGGAGATTTGCTTGTGTTTAATCTTCAAGCTGTTAACGACTATACAGTAAAATTAATAAGGACTGTTCTTTTTACTGACAGGATCGCAAGGTGATGGAGCACTTTCTCAATCAGATGACACCCAAGCAGCAAATGATGTGAGTTTATTCCCAACCAGTAAAAAATTACAGTTATGAAGTATTAAAAATCTGTGAATTTATCACTGAAGACTGATGTTAACAGTTCTCAGGTGTCATGTTGCTCAGACCAATAACAACAATAGCTAAATGCATCTGCTTTTCTTAGTAAATCTCATTACCATTTTGCCATTTAGGCTAGGAATATTATTTTCACCCACATAAACTAAAAAATCTGCTCCAATGACTCCTCTTCAAATATCAAATTGTCACTTCTTTCTAGTTGATCATCCTCAAATGGCTTAAACTCATCAGGCATTAATGGGTTAAATTCCAAACAATTAGTTTTCAGAAAAAGTTTGTTGTTTTCTGTTAACAGAAGGTAAATCTCTAGCCATTACAAGATTTCAAATTTTAAAATTGATTAATATTATAAGTGCTTGTCTTAAAGTGGGTTGTTCTAGATGATAGCTTTGTTCATCATTTGCCGCATGGTTATCTCTCTAATAATATTTTGATGACAACTTATCCTGATACTGCTGGTTTTCACATGGTGATTGCATTAATAAGTCCTCTTTACAGTCATCATTAATTTGTCTCATCATGTAATGTAGGCAAGATGATTTTCACTGCTCTCTTGAGGCCATTTCCCCAAACAATGGCTGGTAATCAAGCCAACATGCAATGCTGCCACCGCACCCCCACCCCACCCCTACCCTCCGATTTGAGGACAGGAGAACGGTGGCTTACAGGGACTATTAGAAGCACTGAGACTGTAAGTGGACTGTAATCCTGATTGTTCTTACAGTTCAACAAGATTTTTCAAACTTGTTGCCTCTGATACAATTCCTTCCTTATACCCATCATCCAAGAGATTTAAGAAATAACTTGTAGTAAACTATTAATCTGATCTTTATTTTCAATGATAGCAGATGCAAACATTTGGTGTCCAGGTGGAGGCTACAGACAATGTGGTAAGTATTCATTCGGAGCTTGTTCTTTACAGTCCCCATCAAAATTTTCTATGCAAATCTGGCTTTTATGTAAATTAGTGACGATCATCTTACATTTTCAGTTTGGCAGCATTTTTTTGTTCACCAAAAACGCTTTTACGAAGAAAAGTATTGAAATCAAATTATACTGAGAATTGTGGGATGAGGAATTAAATGAAAGGAAGGCATCACAATTTCTGTAGATTCAAGTTTTTTGAAATTGGTGGTTAGCTTGGTTCGCGGGGGATGGGCAGGGCACTCCCTTATAGGGACTAGATAGGTACATGCTGCCCCAAAAAGTATGGTTTTTGAGGGTCTTAATTTTTTTATCATTTTTGCCCTTGTTAGCGTTGTGTTCCCAGTGTCATCCTCAGACAGGGTACCCAAATTGTATCAGCTAAAATTCAAGTTAGTAAATAGCCAACTACATGAAAAACAAATCAGCTTTTAGTTTTTGTGAAAGGGATTTAGTAAAGTTATGTTTTTGCCATTGAATTTTAGTAGGTATCCTTTTAGGGTGTCAATTTTCCGTGGTTTTTGTTTGTTTCAACCTTAAATAGGGTTTGGGTTTATGCATTTTTCGGGTTTGCTCAATTGGTCTTTAAATAGTTGACTTTTTCAGGCTTTCTTTTTGCAATGAAACTAGCGTCTAATTACAAAATAAAAGTTGTTGCACTGTTAGAAACCGAAAATATTTTGGAAACTGTTGTAGGCTACTCTAAGGATAGATGAGTTGTGTTCGATCTAAAGGTGAATGATCAAGTAGAAAATTTGTAAAATGATCTTATTACAAAAAGAGAATAGAAAGTGAATACTTATCTGATAGCAGAATACTTATCTGGAAGCAGGCACAGCTTAAAAAAACTGGGGCTCTTCATTTTCATTTCACTCTTACTCTTGCAGGTTATTTTGACTCCCGAAATGCAAGAGCGCATTCGGCAAAACAGGGAAAGGGCGTTGGCGAAACGAAGAGCTGCGCATGAACGACAAGCAGAAGAAACCAACACACAAAAAGGTGAAGACTAAGACGTCCGTGGATATCATACATAAAATGCGCGAAATTGTAAATCTCGCGAAATTACTGCGGCATTTTCTGGGTTTATGAACCGTTCAACACCTGAAGCCTAGGCATACAGTCACCTCTCAGCATTCCCCGCTGCTTGGACGTTCCGTGAGAGACCCGGCTGCTAGCCTGTTCCAGGCTCCGAGATGGTCGGAACCCGGAATTGAGGAAGCGCGGAGACGAAAAAACGGGAGGAAACTTTTTTCCCGCCCCGCCCTCCTTTTCGCGTCTTCGACACTCTTACGCGCCTTCCCCACTATCTGAGGGCCTGGAACTGGCTACCCAGTTGCGACGTGAAACGCAGCAGCGGTGACCTGGGAAACGACAAGAGGCGGTTGGGTTTGCAGGTTACAACACCTGTTGCTGAAACATTTTTGGAAAACGAGTCATGTTTAGTATTACGGTAGGTATCACAAGCCCACTAAACTGGCTTTTTGGCAATCCTCTCATCGCATGAAATTTGGGAAATTGTTCGAGTGTACCAGTATGAGCAGTGCTATGCGTGGGTTTTTGTCTTAGGGCCTGTTTACATGGAGGTGGGGGACCCCAGGTAGGTAACCTTCCTGTCCATATAATCTTTCGTCTTAATTTTATCACGTTCACCTGATAAATGGGGTGCCCCTCCGCGAGTTACACTTCACCTACGTGGGGGTCCCTCACCTCCATGTAAACAGGCCCTTAGTAACAAAGACTAAAAATGAGACGGGAATCGCGGCATACTAAACTCGTACCGATTGATTTGTATGAAATTTTCCACCCAAGCGTTGGCCTGTTTCATTGCGTGTCTTCCCCCTTTGACCAGTCCAGTATGGTGGCCCTACCACTTGCAAGCTTTAGGGGTCACTGAGACACGCAAGCGACAAAATTGTGACTAGCTTATTGAGCTAAGCTGTTGAGAAACGAACAGCCTTATTCCAGATGCTCTAACTAAACCATTGTATGCGTCCACTTCAAGATACCTATGAATACAGTTATTAGATATTTAAATTTGTCTTCAGATTTACAAACTGGAGAAACAGAACAGGCGGCGGTACAGTCCAGTACTGAGATCGCTCAAGATAACGACGGTGAAACGGAACATCTTGCCATGGAAAATAATTCCTCTGCACAGATAAGCGACGTAGAAATGAGAGATGAATCGACAGAGACGGCTGTATCGTTAACAGAGGGTGAACTACAATCTGAAACGAACGAAGATACTGCAACCTTACCACCGATTGTGTCTACAAACGAGAATGAACTACGTGAAGATACTGAAATGGAGAACAATGAAACAGAAGGCTTTGTTGCTGACGCAGATATTGTTCAGAATGAAGAAAACCTTCTAGGGACGGGCTTAGATGGCGCTAAACTAGATAATGAGCTGTTAGAATCGACTGATGATTTGCCAAGACAGAAAAATGATTCAGATTTGGCTGATGGTCAAGCAGTAAAGGCGTTGTCGGCCTCGTCTGCTGATGTTGAAACTGCCAAAATTGGACCTGGTGACGAGACACTCCAAGCAGGGGTGTGCAGAGAAACGTTACCAACACGGGCAACGCCACCCACCGAACAACCTTCTGATCATAACAAAACCACGGAGACTCAGAGTATGGAGATAGAAAATGAACAGTGAAAACTAAATTGCGAGAACTGCTGCATTCAAGCTTGATCACATGACCATTTTCTACAGTGGAGCCACTATTCAGGGGACACCCTCCGAGCCAAGGAAAGTGTCCCCTGAATAGAGGTGTCCCCTGAATTGAGTTTGTTAATGATTAACCAACACTGAATTAAAAATGTTTCTTATATTCTGCCTTGGAATCTGCGGCAGTCATTATTTCAAGCAGCTAGATAATGTATACAAAATCATGATTAACTTATTTCTGCGACATTGTCTGTTGAATTGCAACAAGTGCAGTAAATCGATTTAAGTGAGATAGATCAAGTTGTGAAAGCTGCCGTCATTCTGGCTGGTGTGCACTTAAACTTATCAACGCTTTTTGTGGTCAGTCACTTTTCAAGTGCTAAGGTGTCCCCAGAATGGAGGTTAAACCCAAGCTTCGGGACCCAGAATAAGTGTCCCTTTCCCCTGAATAGAGGTGTCCCTTCAATGGAGGTAACAAATACAAAGATCAGGTGAACATTTTCCCGGGACCAAATTTTGTGTCCCCTGAATGGAGGTGTCTCAAAGGAGAGGTTTCACTGTAGTTGTATTGTCACTGTACAAGTTAGGGATACAGCCTTCGGAACACGAAGTAACGAGCTAATTCGGCGGGGGAGGGGCAGTCCTTGCCTCGTTCCAAAACTCTCACAGTCGCATATTTTGGGGATATTTTTGTAGATTGTTAAATGAAGCGGAAGTGAAGAAGTCTCTCCTCTTTCTCTATTTTTCCTTCCCTTCACTCCACACTTGTGATCTGCGCTCGGCGTTGGACGATCATGCTTGGATCTTGCTAACCCTTAGTGGCGGGGAAATCCTGAAATTCCGCGAGCTTCGAAGACGAAAACAAACGAGTGAGGGTTACTAAATCCGTGAAAAAGTATGTAACAATTAGCGCCAAATAGTTACTAGTAAACAAAAGCAAACAATGAAATTTGATAGTAATAGTTCGTCTTAGGCTACTACCGTTTTCACGGGTTACGTAAAATCACTCTACTATGACAGCATGTGCAGTCCTGGCCTAAGGGTTAAATGATTTCGCTCGAAATTGTAACCTTGACCTCTTTGCCCTGGAGTCTACCAGGAAGATTTTAGGAGGTAACCTCCTAATTTTAATAGGAATACACGCAGATAGAGTTTGGCAGGTCAACTTCATACTTCTAGCACTTTATTTTTGGCTCGAAGGAAAAAAGCTCATATTTTAGAGAAACTATAAAACCACCACAAACGATCGCAATGTTAAAACAATGTTACGCCTTTATTGAATACCAAAATTTTTAAATACTCCTACACTCTTGCCTTCAATATGTTAAAATATTCTCAATGGAACAAGCACTTTCGGCTAAATATATTCAAATTATCACTACATATATGAAATTTGTAAACTTGAAATTTTCATTACTTATTAACAACCTATAATACACCCAAATAATTTAACGCGATGAATATATTACAAAAACAAACGAAAAACGTGTTTCGTGTTTCTCGCATTTTTTATTTTAACTCGAACACTCGAATGAACGCAATGACTATAGTCATTTACGGTGGAAATTCGACATAACCAAGGGCCAAGGGATTGGCAAAATCTGTTTGGTATTACTAGGTTTCGTCCTTATCCTCGTGTTTACTATTACTGAGGAGAAGAACATCGTTATACCAAGGACTTTGTTATATTGCCCGTTAAATAGAGGTTCCTTATATCAAGGTTGTACTGTACAGTATTGCGCAGACAGCCTCCTCCTCAGGCGCTTCGTTTTTCGCAAGGTAGAGGCGAGCGACTGGCGATGAGCCGCAAGGGACCATGGGAAGGGTACAGACGGCAGACAGTCTCTCCCGTTGTCTCCTTCCCGCCTTCCTTTGCGCACGCGCGAGAGACGTCTTGGAACGAGGCAGACTGCGCAGAGGAGTTCTTCTCACTCGGGTAAAAAGCAAGATTTAGACCTTATCTGAATACTCCAATCCTGATGTTTTCCACAAAGTCTTTAACATCAGTCTTAGGCTATGTTCGATTCACACTATACCGGATAGAGCTTCTGTTCACACATAAGAACGGTGATTTCGGCGCGATTCCTAAAACAAAGCGAAGCAGCGCCGCGCCGCGCCGATCTCTAAATACGAGAGTCACACAATTGATAGGTGTTTATGCGAAACCGGGCTATAGCGTATCCGGTATAGTGTGGACATAGGCGTACTAAGTAACAGACTTAAGGCCGATTTAGACGGTACGATTTTTGCTTACGACTATCATTCGTAATTCGGCTTATTAAGTACAGAAAAAGAAAAATTGACGGGTAGGTAAACTTAATTGAGAAGTTCGTCAGTACTCAACGGGTTATCCTTTAAATAACTCGTTGACCTCTCCTAATAAGTGACCTAATTCAACAGAAACAGAAACTGACGAGTGAGTAAAGAAGCGAACTTAAACTTGATTTACGAAAAAACAAAAAAGACCAGGGACCGATTTCGAGTCTTCTCAAGTTCCAACAGCGCGAACGCCGTTGATTATACTAGTTCGCTCAAAGCTTGAAGAATGAAGATACGTTTTTGCGTCGTTCAAACGAAATTTTGTGCTTCTGTGAATATACTTTCATATTTTTAGCCTACTTTGCAAGAATACTGAGGAGCCTCTCGCAGTGTCCCTGTACGACATCTTACCAGGACGTTTTGGAGAAGTATCCGAGACGAACGGCTGGGCGACACAAACTCGCTCAGACTACGTGACCGCGCGAAATAGTGAACCCTAGAGAGTCTCTTACGTCACTCGACACCGAGCTTGGGACAGTTCTATCTCGATTTTTCAGTTTTTGATTGGATAGTCGAGCCTCTAACCATACAGAACTGAATAAAGTCACCATGTAACAAAAAACTATAGCAAAACAAAAAAAACCTGATATAGGTAGAAAAATGATCATTTCCGTAATCCAGTACAAAATGTTGCAATTCATAGTAAGCTGAAACTAGACGAGCGTCCATAAGAAAGAAGAATCCATGCTGAAGTGTACTCTAGCGTACATTTTAACTTTTCCTGAACAGAACATAAGTAAAGCGGAAACCAGAAACTGACACGAATCATCCGCCTTCGCACACCGTTTGCAGTACATTCTGAAAAAAGGATATTTACAGTGACTGGATGATCAACAAAATTAAAGGTGGCACGATCTGAGTGCACACTACCATAAAGGGAAAAAGGTGAGGTGAGACAACCCCGCAACTCTCCTACAAGATATCCCACTAGGAGATACCAGAGAAAAATAGTCCAACTTAACCCATTCGCCCCTGAGCCGCCCGTGCGGATCCACGTCCCTTCTACCGCTTGTGACGTCATCAGGCGATGGACAAGGGCGACTTTGTCCGCTACTGCGTGCAGAGTGAAGAGATCTTTCAAACCATACCAGAATGAGCACAATTCGGTCAAGGACACCGGAGAAAAAGGCAAAAAAACCATGAGACATTGACCCGAATATTGCCATGAAAATCTTGTTCCACTGCCCACCTACCCTTTTCTTTCACCTAATCCTAAGATCCTAAAAGCTTTCCTAAAAACTTTTCCCACCAAAATAAAGCCTACTAAATGCCCAGCAAAAGAAACAAAGTGAGGCAAGAAAATCGAAAAAAGAGAGGAGGAGAGAAAGCGAAAAGTAAAAGTCACGATTGCTGTGTCACTTTTAAACCCCAGAACTCTAAATTTTGCTTTCTGCGCATGCCCGAACTTCACAAGCTAATATTTTGCAACTGGATCAGAAGGCCGCGAAGTGTACGACCTGCAAACGGCATTGTGGTAAGTTTCAGCACGACAGTGACCAGAAAACCACTCGACAAGCTTCAAACGGCGTTTCTCAGCAAAACGTTCATAAAACATTGTTATTATTCATTCAAAATATTTCCCCGATTCTGATTGGCTAAAACCACACGTTTAATTCACCATAACCAGTTGCTGATGACGAAATTTGGAAGAAATTTGACTTTAACGAGGAAATGACGTCAAAAATGCAGCGTTTTCGCAGGCTAAGGAACCGTTAACCGAGAAGACCTGGCGACGAGGTTGAGTTGTTTTGGTTGTGAACTTGAAAAAATGACGGACATTTCACTCGTTTCAAGAGTAAGAACTAAGCGAAAAAATAGCTAAAACATGGCAAGAACAGCAAGAAGACAACTCGAAGGGCGACATCTGCTATTTGGAGAATATTTGCGGAGCTGGAAAAACCTAAACGTACACTATCGAAGAAGAACTGAACATCGACGGATCGATGGAGGTAAGCATGTTTTAGCTGTGTTTTTAAACTAGGAATTATTTTTAATGAATAACAGAACAGTTATTGAATTCGGCTTTCATATCATATGAAGAATTATGGAGATCTCGGAGGGTGTTATCCGCCTTTCTTCATAAGATACTCAGCCTCATTCATTAACTGTTAAATAAGGAGAGTTCTTAACTTCAAGTGATCACTTTCGTCCTCATTTTCCAAGTGCAACTACAGTCAACTCTCTTTTAACCCTTCAAGCGCCTATATCCACAGACACATTTCCAGACTGACCTCCATAATGTTTTTTGGCTTATAAAACTGGTTAAAAAAAGATCATTTTCTTAATTCTCATAACCTTGTGTTCTTGATGCTATAGAGCGTTTTCACATGACGTCACGACGGCCATATTGGTGTTCCAAAACAATGAAACGGAGGCCATGTTGGTGTCCCAAGAAAATCCTCTGGGGGTTGAACTCTTTTGTCATGTAAATGCTTTCTTTTGGTCCAATAAATTAGCATAGATGCTGGCCACGTGAGTGAAACGCTCCATATTGATGTTGTTAGGAGAAACATGTTGCTGGCCAGTACGGAGACTTGAAGGGCTAATGGACACCTCTATAAGACGGACACCTTTCAAAAACAAACACCTACACCGTAGAGTTGGTCACTAACGTTTGTTCGACTCTATTTGCTGGTTTTCACTTTGACGAAAAAGTTTTCAGAAGTGCTATCACAAAACCAAGAGTCCTATGATTTCGAATTGAAAACTATTAAAAGATAAATGTTAGATGTGCTAACAAATAAAGAAACTGGAGCCCGTTTCGCGAAAGTCCCGATAATTAACGGGCCCGGTAAGCTGTCTCCGTTTACATTAAAGATCGAGGTTTCAATAGTTTTGCATCTAACATGATAAAACTATCAGTAATGAAACAAATGGAGTTGTTTGCTAGCCAGGACCCGCGCTCTTATTCTTTATATTTCGATTTGAATATTTGATTTCGGGCCCGTAAAGTTACCGGGACTTTCGAGAAACGGGCCCCTGAACTCTAACGGATTTATAATTCTCACTTAGAAATTTTCATATGCATGTTCATACGTCACATCCAACTCAGCCGAAATCTCTAGGTGCAGGTCTCAACGGTATCCGGAGTTGATTGCATTCAATCTAACGCGCTAACGCAACAGTCAGCCCAGTCTGCGCAATTTACCACTATTATGCGAAACCTCATTCAACATTGAACTCACCACCTTGCATTAATTACTAAAAGCAATCCTATAAATGTCAGCAGTGCTCATCCATGGAAGGTCCTTGTGGCATCCAATCACGGAAATGATCCCTGTAGTGTCCAGATCCTACTAACCATGGATCCAGTTCCTCTCGGCGCTGCGACTGCCGCCCGTCTGCTCTGCGAAAATACCACGGGACATAATTTGACCGCTGATGAGCACGATCACTGGCTCGTTCGAAAAACCAGTTCTGGCCGCGCTTTTGTTTCTGACCACAGGGAAACTGAGTTTCATGTTTATCAGAGGAACGTTGCTGGTCTCGCTCTTGAGCCCGCCGATCATACCATGGGACAGACCGCTGTTCATTACGATGTTTAAATTTCCTATCAGTCAGGAACTGGGTGTCATGTGTATCAGTGTTGCGTTGATAACATCGCTCTTGTGCCCGCTGATCATACCATGAGAAAGACGCGGGCTCATCTTGAGGCTCCCAGTGGTGACCGCACGGAAACTGGGTATTGTGTTCATCCTTGCTTCGCTGAGAGTTACGATTTTGAGCCCGCAAATCGTACCACGGAACAGACCACTGATCGGCACGTTCCTTGGCGCGTTCCCGAGCACGTTGAAACACCCAATCAGGAGGTGGAATAGACTCCTCTTTTTCTGTATCATCGGAAATACAAACTTTGTCTTGAGCATAACCCCTGTGACGATCTCTCGCATCACCCGATCTCACGTCCGACAAGACAGGACCTTGAGCGCCTACTTCCTCCTGTCTTCTAGTTTTCACCTTGTGCCGTTTTTCGTACCATTCTTTTGAAGACAATCGGATGCCTTCGGGTGGTATTGGGCCCTCGGGCGTTTCCTTTCGGGTCCAATCTTTGTCTTGCTCTTGGCTAAGCCCGGTCTCGGTAGGTCCTTGAAGCATCCAAGGATGACCTTTAGCGCATTTCAGGTTTTTGCCCATCATTTTTTTCTTCAGAACATCAGAGGAGTCTCCGCTAGAGCGGATATCATCCGATTCTTTCGAGATTATTATAAACGACCTGCTATCTGCCGCTCTAACGTTATCACTTGTTGTTTTATCTTTGCGTTCCAGTCCTTTCAGCAATGTTTTAACAAGATCGATATCTAACGTTAAGTTCAAGAAACCTGCTAAAGCCCTGTCCTCCGAAACTCTCGCCAACTCCGAATTTCTAACAGTCACCTCCCTTTTCTCGTTTTCTTTCCGTTCAAATTCGCGTTGCTCTATTCCAAACATCAGCTTTTGCAGTTCTTTCTTTCCAGCTTCCCAGTAGCTAAGTTTGCGGGGATGATCCTGCCTAGCTTCAACGTTACTTCTAGAATTTTCTTCGTTGTCCTCTGATGTTTTATCGTTCTGTAACTCCTTTCCTTGAAATTTATCCTGTTCACCCGCATTCCGCGTAGGCGTTTCCGCTCCGCGATTAGCACCGAATATTGATGGCATAAACAAAGTTCTCCAGTGGAACTCTTCAGCTTTTTTAAACGTCTTTTTGTGAACCCCGGACAACCACTGTTTAAGATTTTCCATTTGTGAGAATGTCTTTTGCTGCCTTTCTAGCGTTTTCTCTCGAACTCTAGACAGCCATTCTTTGACTTTTTCCAACTGCTGCCTAAAAAAGGCTTCACGATGACAGCCTTCCGTCTTTGCCTGGGAGCCTCTACTCTGTTCGCCTTCTTTTCCGCTCGTGTGATCATCACTTTTCTTCCAGTTTTCCTTTGTCATCTTTTCATTTTCAGTTTCGCTTGCTTCTCCTTTTCTCCTTCGTTTTTCTTTATCATACTTCGCTTGCTCCCGAACAACAGACTCATATTCTTGCTTTTGTTGTTGCTCTGTTTCTGCTCTCTCCCCTTTCTTCTTTGCCTTTTTTCTCTTTTTAGCTTGTTCTCTCTTCCTTCTCTGCTTCTCTTTCTCAGTTTTCATTTGACGTAATTCCCTCGACCATTTCTTATACTTCTCCTTGACAGCTTTCTTTAAAGATTTTAACACTTTTTGTTGTTTTCGTAATTTGTCTTTCTCTTGGGTGATCTCACTCCTTAACCTTTCTACTTCTTTCTTCTTATTCGCATCTAAAGTTTTCTTTTTTAACTTCAACAATTCGGACTGTTTCGCTAACAACTCTTTCATCTTTTTCAACCTCGTTTTCAGCTTCTTTAGTTTTTGCTTTTCCTGCTTCAGGGCCGCAATGAATTTCTCAAGTCCTTGTTTGTCTTTCTCGTGAATTTCTCTTTCCACAGATAACTTCTTTTTACTGCGCGCGAGCGCTTTCCAGGAGCGTCGTAATTTCTTCTTCTCGATCTCTAAACCACGCCTTTCTTGTTTTAACTTCAACAAGTAGCGATCTGCTTCTTCGACACGCAGCTTTGCTTTTTTTTCTTTTTTCTTTAGCTCGCGTCGTTGGATCCTGTGCTTGCGTATCTCTTCTCCTCGATCTTTAGATAAATTTCGGAGCATTTTTTTTTGTTCTGTGAGCAACCGCTGTAGCTGCACATTTGCCTCATCTTTCCGATAAACCTTGGTTGCTTTCAAAGCTCCAAAGCTCTGAGCGGCAGTGTCTTTTTCGCCATTAATCCTGCCACGGTCAGACACACGACGCTTCTCAGTTTTTACTTTCTTTAAACTGCTGATCGCGTTTCCCAAAACGTATCTTGACACCTTTTCAGCTTCCCCTGCCCTTTTTGGACACCAAAAGCCTTGAACGTAAGTTTCCGTCAGGGGTAGTCTATCTGCAGGCATTCTCAATTGTTCTGCAGAATCTGCTTTCAAAGAACGCGGAGTTTTATCGTGAAACCAAGACACAGATTCACGAGGAAACAGCGGGTTATCAAACTGAGGACCCTTTGTGAACTCTTTCGCTTTTTCCTCACCGTTATCCTGGTTTTCTACGTTATGTTTGATGAGTGGCGTTACCACTTTGTCGTCTTCGTGATCATGATTCTTACTCGCATCTTCCACTGACCTCTTAACTAGGCCTTCCATAAATATCGGAGTATACCAAGGAGAGATCTTTGTTTCCTGTGATACTTTTGTCACAGAACCTTTGCCAGACAACCGTAACAGATAGTTCTTTTCTTCAGGGTCATCAGAAGCACACTTAGTACTCACTGAAGAAATTTCTTTTTTGCGTCCCTTTAACCGCAAGTCCTTTGTCCAGCGGTCTCTAAATTCTCTCCACATATTGTCATGCACGCGTGAACTGCTGCGTTCATTTTGCTCCAGTTCTTTAGCTTTTATCGCCGATAACTCCTCTTCCGGGTTTTTGTCAACCTCCGAAGGGTGTGTCAATTTTTGACTCTCATTTACAGGACCTCTGTCTTCAGATTTTTTCCATCGATTTAGAAAATCCTTCCAGTATCTGGGATGTCAAAAATTGTAGTGTTAGTATAGTGGAACCTTGATAGGCGAAACTCTATACAATTGACACTGGTCACTCTTGGGACTTAAAAGTGTTTAACCCCTAAATGAGCATTATATTGGAATATTGTAATACCTAAGATCATAAATAGTGCAGGTATAAAGCTGTCAAAAGATTAAAATAATTTTAAGGAAATTTATAAAAAAAAAAGTTTTAAGTTGCTGAACTGAGCACGGGCAGCTTATCAGAAATAAACAACTTGTTGCACAAATAATGCCCAAAGTGATTCAACCTTCATCATTACAATGTACATAATAAAACTTGCTCATGGCAATTTATCACACCAAATTTAATTTGGCTCCTTTGTTAATAAAAATCTATAGCCATTTTCTCTTCTGCTGCACTGTTGAATAAATAATTATTACAGAAAACCCTTCTTGAATCAGCTCTTACTTGTCAAACTTGATGCCATTTGCCACTGCACGGCGCAGTTTTGCATTTTCATTCATACGACGCCACAGATCAGCAGTGTGTTTTTCATGCAAGTAGAGCTGTTCCATGTGTTCCAGCTGTTCTTGCAAAGCCTTGTTCCATTTACCACCTCCTTCCTTCTTCGATTTCTCCTCCTCATACTTAAGACGCCAGTACCATGACATAACTCTACTCATGCGCAAACGCTGTTTCACACTTTCGTGCAAGCTCGTGAGTCTAAAGTGTTTCTGCTGAAGTTTCTCATGCAGTGCTTTAGTGTCAAATAAGTCTCCCAAGTCATTTTCAGGTTCTGGGTCTCTCTGGGAGTCAAGACGGTCTTCAACTTTCCACATTGTTAGTTGATCCAAGAAATCACGTGATACTTCATCCAGAGGTTCCATGGAGTCAGAGGTAAGGGGAAGTGAGGCTGTCTTGGGTCCAGGTCTCTTGACGTTTCCAGTCACCTCCAAGGCTTGGCTACTAATGTAGACACTTAATCCTGCCAAGTTAAACAAAAAACAATGTTTTATCACATACACATGGTTACAAAACAAGGAGCTGCCAAGTTTTGTTATGACAACTTTTTATTTTGTTTGATGATTACAGGCAATCACAGATTAAATTATCTGAGAATGAAATAATGTTTCTTGCTTTCCTTGTGCATCAGTCATTTTCAAGGTCAAATGTGTAAAGTTCTTGGCCAGCCTTGTTGCACATCAAATCCCTGAGTTTACACAGTTTACTTTAATATACTAAATGCCCGCGATAAGCCAGGAAGCATTTAAAATTAAATTAAAATGACAGAAGTCACTACTTTCACATGACATTTTCACAAACATGGTCAGACAAGTAAAATTGGTTGTTACCTCACCAAAAAATATTATTTACTTTAAATATTGTGTAAGTCTTACCGTATCCAATACTGAAACCAAGAGCGGTGGTTATGCCCAAAAGAAGAAACAATGTTGGAAGATCAAAGGAAACATAGCTACAGTTGTCTGTTGTCACATGAAGGTCCTCAGTTATATCTGTACTCTCCCCTTCATTTTGGTCACTCTCTTTAAGACTCTCACCAGCCTCAGAAAGCTTTACAATGTCTGCAGTATCATCTTCTCCCTTGCAAACATCTTCATCTAAATCACTTGGGTTAAACAAGTCACTGTCAAATGAAAACAAGCTGTTCTTAGAGTCAACCATTGAATCAAGGGAGTCCGCATCATGGCCTAATTCAACAAAATCTTGGCTGCTGTCCTCTTCTGGAATAGGCTCAATATCATTGTCTTCCTCTGAGCTGTTCGAGTCACTGGGAAATGAGTAAGAGCCACTTTCTGAGAGCTGAGGTGGGTTTTCCCAACCATCAGTAGTTGCTGTAATGGCACAAGAAGATGGCCGATTTTCTTGAGTGCAGTCTTGTTCACATTGAAGGTTTACTGGAATATCAACATCGTCATCATTACTTGTGGAGTCAGTCTCATCATTCCTACAAAAGTGATTAGAGATGATCATGATGCCATCATCAGCAGCACACTGGCAGCCATTCTGTTGGACTGGAACACGTTGATCTTCTGACTTCTCACCATAAATGTCACTATTTTCAGCTGACTGTTCATTACTCTCAACTCTTTGCAAATCTTGAGTGCTTGCTAGCTCTTCAATTGATGGCGGATGACACTGAAATCCAGTTAGCACCTCAAATTCTGCCTCCCCCTCACTGTCATCCTTATCAGGGACTTCAGTAGGAGAAACAAGAATCTCATCTTTTGCTTGCAGTGGTTTTGAGTAAGACACAGAATTCTTCCGTGGCTGCAAGAAAGTTAATAACAATGCTTGTTAGATACGACCCATCAACATCTTTTTCCATAACCTTTTTTGGGAAAGCAAACATGGCTAAAATTACTAAAACAGTATTTCTATTAGAATTTTCCTGACAGCAGCATGGCCAGACGGTCAGTGCCTTGGACTCTCAATCTGGCAGTCCCAGGTTCGAGTCCCACTCTGGCCACTTGCTGGATTTGTTCTTGGTCATCCCAAGTTCAAATCTTTCGCCGAGTTTGTACATAGCCAACTGGTTGCCTCCTGCTAGTTGGGGTTTTTAATCCTGTTATGTTGCATTTGAATTATCTATTTCTAAGTATTTGAGAGAAGTGCCTGTAACCTAGCTGGATAAGCTAAGTGCACTTTCCACAATAAACAAGCCTTTAAACTTTTTTTAACCTTTGATCCACAAACCTTCAAAATTTTAGAGGATTTCTTTGCATCTAATCTATGCCACTCAACTAGCACTGGTTAAAAAATTTTGGATAATGCATATACACTCCTCAACTTCCAGGACTTTCCATGACTTTTTCTGTGACCTTTTTAAGTTTTCAGTGACCTTAGGTTTAGCTGTCACTTACAAATTTTTAATCACTCCAGCAAATTATTGTAGAGAGTTCCAAACACCCAAATGCCCAATTTCCAATGATCTATTGTTAAAGCAACCTTAATTGAATTAGGTATACATGTTTTGATTCAATTTCATCCTTGGTTTTAAATATTATTTTCCTTCATTTCAAAGTCGAAATCACACATTACCATTTAAACCAAAGTTTAAAGCAAATCACAACACATCCACCAGATAAGTCACTATTCAGCAGTAAAGTATTAGCAAGACCAATATCATTGTATCACTGACTGATTAGCAACAGTGCTGGTGCAAGAATTGAAACTGGAGAAAACAATAACCAAATTTGACAACTCCTCACTTCACGATCAATTTTGATATTTCAATATAGAGAACAACTATCTGAAGTTTTAAGTTTCTTTTTTCTTTTGCTACAACAGTTTGGTTTTGTTCACTTTACTTGACAAGAAGAAACTTGCAAAAAAAGCCTTTTTAAAGATCTTAATTTAGATAGAAGAAATTTTAGAATGAAGTGTCATGGGCTGAAAGTCAGCCAAAACTCCATACATTCAACTGTAATTAAAGCTGTATTTGTCCCCAACCAAGATGGCACAAAAAACCATGGATGGGTTTTTGTCCAATAATATTAGTAGACAACATACAGCTCCCTTGTCATGACAAAATAGGCCACACGTTGGGGTAAGACGATACAAATGAATTTAAAGTAGTCTGTTTTTTTCCTTGGCAATTCACTATAACTGAAATCCCAAAATCTCTTAGTGACTAACAACACTAATCTACATCTAAATACTAAATATCTTTAATTAATCCTAATGTCAAAGTCCATGTATCAAAAAGTATTATGACATGTATTGAAAATAACTTTCTGCTCTGATTAATACCAATCATAGTCTTGTTGCAAGATAACTGCCCAAAGGCTTAAACATTTACAAAATAACGAATACACACCAATGAATACTGGTGTTTATTTTAAGTGAACATGTGGCTTATGTAACCACAGGTGACAAGAGCCAGCTGACCACGTGATCTATTGTTGACAAGCGAACGAACGGGCATGCAAAGGGAAAGTACGCGTCGATCTGTTTTAAATTGCAAATTTAAAAAAGCTGGGTACATTTTGTAAACAAACAGCCATGAATTGGCGGCTGCCGCAGGAAAAATATAGGTGCACAAAATGCACGTAGTAGGCTGAATGTACTTTCTGTGTAAGACTGCACACATGAAAACGCAAATGAACTCTATTTAGCTTGTTTCATTTCGCGAGCTAAATATTGCCGCGCCGGGTTGTTTCTCTCGCGTTTGCGGTAAATTGCTTAACTACAGTTTTACTGATTTCCCATAATAAGAAAAAATAGAGTCGTTAAGCTTCGAACATTTTCAGAAATGCTCTGTAAAAACAGCATATGCAGACACTACAAATTATCGAACCACAGTGATGCAATGCACGTACCTCAATGTCAACTTTGCCTTCTCTGTCGACAAAGGTCCAGTCGTTTTCAAAATCGTCTTTTTCGTTGGAAGCCATAACATCCGGCAAAAAATTACATTACGATGAAAACAACATAGCAATTGAAAATTGCAGGTTCCTCCTTCAAACCTATTGAAACAGGAGCTAACGACTTTGAACCGAAATTTTTCGCTCCTCAATGTTTTGGTTTTGGGCAACAAGGCGTTCAATGTTATTGGCCTCGTGATCACGTGCCTCAAACTGGCCAATGAAAGCGTTTGTACGGACATATTTACCCGCCTAGTTTGAAAGTTAGCCAATCAGGGATAAGAGTGTTGTAAACAAACATATTTCGCGGACAAGAACAACGCAGATCAAAATGATGCAACGAGAAACAAGTGGCGAAAAGTAGGTTACTACTGAATAATGCCACGTATGTTTGACGATTTCGAAAACGTGCTCCAATCCACCATTTTCTGCTGTTTCAGCACAGCATCCTTAAGCAAACAGAAACCAACGCGACCTAAAATTTGTAGAAAGGGTGTGGAGTTTTGCATATTTTAGGCAAATGCCAAACTATGGTGGAACAAGACTTGGAAAGCTTCCACTTTTTTCGACGCGTCCATATCAACATTTCTGCGCCTTGAATAGCAATATTATTAATTTTCGTCCCTATGTGTAGCTTTGAAGGCGTTGCTTAAGCCACACTAAAACAAACACAACTACTAGTATGCTATGAAAGTCAGACGTTGCTGAGTTAACTTAATTTAATATTTCATGAGTGTTACCTAGTTTTACCTCAGAATATAAACAAGTACAGGCCACCAAACGAATAAACTAAAGTTCGAGAAGAAGCGAGCTTTTTTCTCACAAAATGGTCACTTGAGATTGGCTAAAACCAACCAAGATTACACAGGTAGCCAGTTGTTCTTTAAAATATTTTAATACCGTATTTATTCGATTAACCGCCCTGGGCGCTTATTAAATTTTTGGACCTTGAGAGTGGGCGCTTATTCGAGGTGGGCGCTTATTCGAGGCTGGGCGCTTATTAAATTTTCACCATTTTCAGCAAGTGAAGAATGTGTATTTTGCAACAAAACAATAAATGCAACAAAACAATAAATGCTAATAACAAAGCAAGGTTTCTGTAAAATACTCTGAAGAAAACTCCGTCCTCGGGGAAGTCTCTTGTTAGAATTTATTCACTCAAGTGGGTGGGGTGGGGGTGAGCGCTTATTTGAGTTTCATTGGGAGGAGGAGGGGGTGGGCGCTTATTCGAGGCTGGGCGCTTATTAACTTTCTCTGCCTTTAGGATGGGCGCTTATTCGAGGTGGGCGCTAATTCGAGGTTGGGCGCTTATTCGAATAAATACAGTAAACCAGAAATTATTCAGAAGTACAACACCCAAAACTCTTCTAAAATCTAAATTAAGTCCCAACAAATGATTTTAATCGTCACTGAATAAGTAAAACTGACTAAATTTTGTAAGCCACTGAGAAACTGTCGATATTTTAGTCACATTATGTGCTTTTAAATCTTTTGGCAAGAAACTAAATATGCATGCAGGTGCAATTTCCCTGTGCTTCTCAGCTCCTGGATCATTTTGGCTCTGTTAGATTTTATTTAACAGAGCCCCAAATGCTTGAATTTTTGCCACATAATTATATACAAGTGTGTGAGGTTCTGAACCCATCACTTAATTGACAAAATCTAGCCTCCTTTCAGTTTTCATGTTGTTACTCAAAACCACAATTAGTGCAACAAAATGAACAAAAAAATGTTGTTTTCTGTAGATTTATTTTAGCATACATAAGAACACACATAAAATGTAGAGCTTTTAATTATTATTATGCAATTACAAGATTGTAAGTGCAGCTCTACAGTAGAGAGAGTTGGTTCTATTCGGCCCTCTTTACAATACAAAGCAAATCACTAAGTCTCTCATTGGAGTCACCAAATGGACTCAAAAAATAGACTTTTGAGGTTTTCATTAATCTAAACTAATATTTTTATCCAAACTGAATTTTCACAAAATCCTATTAAGATAATATTAGTGAAAGGTTTAGACTACGAATAGTCCCTATTTTTCTTCAGGGTTAGTTAAGTGAGCGAAACGTGAGCGCGCGTCAAAATCACCCCACGCGTGTTTTCCCTGAGGAAAAATGGGGACTACCTCATAGTCTATGAAAAGTTTGAATGCAGAATTCATTTCACTGAGTAGCTGGAATATGATCATCCGGGTGATTGTAGTCCTGAATAGGACCACTCTTACGCTGAAAATTATATTCCACCTACCTATATAATAATATAACTGGTTCCACAAATTAATTCATGTTTCAGTTTTTTAGCACTTCTACACTTCTTTCACTGTTTGCACCAACTTTTCATCATTACTACTGCATCATAGCCCTGCTGTGTTTGATTAGTGCATTGCTGCTGAAAAAATGTTTTGGGGGTTGGGAGAGTGGTGCAAGTACAGGAAGTAGGATGAATTTCTTTGGGGGTTCAGTGGGTTGATGAGGGAAGGGGGATGTAAAAACAAAAGTGAAGTAAAGGTCAAAGGTTCCAGGTATTATCCAAGAAAGCAAACACCTAAGGACCCTATGCAGAGACACACTGATTGTTGTGCATCCCTGTCAAAAAAGAGTCTTAGCAGATGGATGGATTCAGACACAATCAAAAAGAAGAAATCAGATACCAAAAAGGAGAAAAAAACAAAACCACATCATGAACCAAATAAAAAAACACTACCTTTTTAGCTGAATTTGAAAACTAAACACTATAAAAAGACAAATCTCAAAACATGAAAAGTGAAGATTTTCATGACAAAAACCAAAAACCAACCTAAAAATGGCCAAAAGTGCAACCCTGAAAATCCCAATAGCCCATAATCTAAGCTTCATCACCCACAATATCTCATTAGCAACTCCACATAATGGCCTAAACCGAGAGGCTCCACCCAAAAGGGGTTATGGAAGGGAAGGGATTTCCCTGGTTGAGGAGGTGGGAAACCTGTCATTTGAAAAGGTCCAACAGAGCTATCTTACTGAGAGATTCATTCTATGGCTGTGAAAAAGTCAAGAAAACATAATTGTGGTTTTGCGATTTTTTCATAGTTTAAACAAAGTGCATTTATAGCAGTTAAAAGAGATGTTAAGTTCTAAACTAGGTGTGTGAAAGGGGTCCCATTTGTCACTAAAAGGTATACAAAAGGTAGGGGTACCTTTTCTGTTCAAAATATAAACGGGGTAAGAGGTTGAACCTTGGGGCGGAGCCTCACAGTATAAAACTTTGTTGAGCAGCCACCAGCAGCACCCCCCCCTGCCTCCTCACCACTGGGACTTAAAACAGCTGTTTCTTCTTTATATAATACTAAAAACTGAAGCGTTCTATCAGTATCTCCAATGTATTCCACCAGTCATCATAATTATTTTCAATTCCTTCAGCCTCTGCTGTAGGTATGTGAGAATTGGCCAGCTTCCACTGGCCCCAGGCTGTTAATTCAGGCCAAACCTCTAACAGGTGGTTAAACTCCCAACCTACACAAAAGGTGATGGAAATCATCATCAATTCATCCAAGTTCTCAATATCAGGCAGACAACTCTGATCTGGATTTTTCTTTTCGATATGCATGTGCCCTTTTTTCCGACTCCATTTACTATTTCAGCCTCCATTATTTAAGTGCCCAAAGAGCAGGTTATCGAGAAGACGAGTCATCTTCACGTTTTTTCCCTCGTATAAGAAGAACGCCACTCATATTCGGCTTCTGCTCTCCACGCGACGAAGTATTCTTTACTTGCTTCTTTGTAACTTCATTCGAATCAGCAGTTTCAACAATCAAAACGTTCTCTTTTTTCTTCTTTGAGTCACGCTTGCTTGCATAGTTTTCAAGCAAAGGCTTGTAGATGTATGCTCCACTTGCAACTCCAAGTAAAGTTACAACAAACAACTGGTTTAACGGAAGTCTTCTCACAAGCCTAAGAACCATTTTCTCTGATATGTCAAAAATCACCAGGCGTTACTCGCTCATAGCAGCGTAAAGACTGGATTCTTATAACTACAAACTCTGACGCGTTGCGGATTCTAACAAGACGGCATGGACATTGAAAAGGAGAAAGATTTTATTGTGAGGAGACGAAAGAAACAACAGAACGATGTTTCATGGCGTCATAATACTATTACGGATAAATGTGGTGCCTCGTTTGAATCTGCAAATGCGATGGTCTTGGCAGAAAGGTCTTTATTTGTTTGGCTGCTCCTGTTTAGAATACTAAATGCAATTCTCATCAAGACTTTTTTTGTCCCTGACGAATTCTGGCAGGGACCAGAAATTGCTCACAGAGTGGTATTTGGTTATGGTTACTTAACATGGGAATGGAAAGAAGGCCTCAGGGGCTGGACTTCGCCACTGATCTTTGCAGCAAGCTATAAGTTGTTAGCTGTTCTTGGAATGGACTCTGCAAAAACTCTTGTTGTGGTACCCAGGTTGGTTCAGTCATTTTTTGCCGCATTTGGGGATTTGTTTTTGTACAAGCTGGCAGTTAAAAGGTTTAATCTTCAAACTGGTAGATGGACGCTTATCTGCTACTTAATGTCCTGGTTCACATTCTACAGTGTGACAAGAACTTTGACAAATTCTTTAGAAACTGTTCTAACAACAATAGCCCTTTATTACTGGCCTTGCGACATAAAAAAGGAAAATAATGCTAAAGATGTCGTTAAAGCTCTCAGTTTTGCAGCTTTTTCTTGCATCATCAGACCAACTGCCGCAATAATTTGGATCCCACTATGTAGTTGGTATTTAATTTTCTCACCAAACAAACTAGGATTTATATTTAGATGTGTTGTACCAGTTGGAATGATGGCCCTGTTGTGGTCACTGATTTTGAACAGTTGGTTTTATGGAAAGAGGACACTAGTGGAGCTCAATTTTGTCAAGTTTAATGTCATTAATGACATGGGGACGTTTTATGGAAGTCACCCGTGGCACTGGTAAGTAGCGTGGGTTAATTACTACATATTAAGTGCCACCCTCGAATAAGCGCTGTGTTTGGGAGAAAAATAATAAGCACTGCCCCCAAATAAGCACCACGGCCCTGATATAATCAAAATTAATTTATTTATGTTAGTTTAATTATACAGAAATTAATAATACTGTAGTTAAAATAATATTGCAAATTTTACGGTAGTTTCTGCTTTTATCTTTTACAACCGTGCAATTTTACAAGACTTGTAGATCCAAATATTATCATAAATGGAGATCTTTTTAGAGGTTTCAGATTTTTGCTATACAGTTAAACCTCCACCTTTTAACAGCCACCCTCTAGTAAGTTGCCGCAATCGAAGTCCCAAGTAATTATTACTTGGGACTTCGATTGCCGGCAACAAAGAATAGGGAAATAAACCTCTAATAGGCAGCCCCTGCCACCTTTTGGCCGTCACCTCTATCAAGCGCTTGATACACTTAGTTGGCTTATAGAAGGTGATAACTGATTGTGGACGAGTAATGTTTCCCTCATCGCGCATTTGTTTCAAATTAAAGTGATGTTTCTGCTAAAGATTATGCTCATTTCTGACAAACCTCTATTAAGAGGCCAACCTCCATTAAGCGGCCACTGACTGGTACCCCAAGAGTGGCCACTTAATGGAGGCTCAACTGTAGAAACATTCTGTGACCCTAGTCTTAAATCTTGATTTCTAAATAGTCCTTTGTGAGGTGGAATTAACTGTTGTCAATGTTTTGATATTGCAATAATATTTAGGTACTTGACCCAAGGTTTTCCCGTAGTAATGTTTACACACTTGATTCCTTTTCTTGGTGGAATTTGCAAAGCCAGTTCAAGACAGCAAACACTAGCATGGCTCATCTTATGGACCATTTGTATTTACAGGTTTGTAAAATTTTTATATTCACAAACAGGAATAGCATAGAGTCTGACAGGCACAAAGCATACAAGCCTTACACGTGCATTGGTGTAGGGGCTTGTTTTTTGCATCTCTTATCAGTCTTACTCTCTCACTGTCTTCACCCTCACTTTAGACCTTTTATTTGACTGCTCACATTTTCATGACCTGTGCTAAAATGTGGACAGTAATTATGGACTGGTTTGCAGTCTATACTTTATTTGTTTTGACAGACATTTAACAGAATCAACTTAAAGTATACTGATCTCATGCAACATTATTTTTTACAGCTTCCTTGGCCACAAAGAGTTCAGGTTCATTTTTCCTGTGGTGCCTATGGCAATGTGCTTCTGTGGTCTCTTCCTAAGCTCTCTTTGTGAGCCTATTCTAACCAAAGAAGAGCAATCCGCTGATCATGGCTTCTTGGCAGGGCTTCTTTGGTCTGGATGGAAAGCAAGGTCACTGATGATGTTTTTAGCTGTAACAAATATTCCATTGATGCTTTACACCAGCACTGTACATCAGAGAGGAACTATTGATGTCATGGATTACATTCAAGTTGAAAGTGCAAAAATTAGAAAGGAAAATGAAATGTTGGTGTTGTTTTTGATGCCATGCCATTCCACACCATTTTATAGGTACGGGACATTGTGTTATTTTGTTTTAATTTGCAGGTAGTTAAATATTGACCAATTTTCATGAAAATGTAGACTCCCTTCACCATGTCACTTTCCTTAAGGAATGAATTTTGGAAAGCCCTAGCGAAAATAATTATCAAGAGAAAGAAAACAAACAATGTAATTTTATAAAGGTTTGAGGAATCAAAGGGAAATACTACAACTTTAAGTATCAGTAATTTCTTTGACTTTAATTTGGTTTGCTTTATTATATCTAGATTGATTGTTGATCAGAAAAAAATGGTTTTAGTTGCTTCATGGTGTTGTTGATGATTATTTTTATTTTTTAATTGTTTTTGCAAAACATGTATAATTTGAAGAAAACTGAGGGGCTGAGGCCAGGGTAAAACTAATAAAATACCAATAAACTCTCTCTGGCTAAAATTTTCTTTTGTCCTCCTGACCGCAACTTCTTCAACATGCAAAATGATGAATCAAGAAAGCAAAAAAATTCTAAACTATAGTGTGACAAAACACGAATACAACAGAATAAATTCACATAAGAATAAGAATTAAGAAAGAATACATTAAGAATTTCAGCTAAGAACAATTACATTAATGAGGCCGATTAGGGTGCACAAAATGTTAATATTATTGCACGCTATCTTGGTAAAGTTATTTAAGTGTAGCTTCTTGTCAGTTTTGTTCACAGAAATATCAGCATGAGAATATTAGAATGTCCACCAAGTGATGAGCAAGGTTACATTGATGAAGCTGATCAGTTCTTCATGAATCCCTCTTCTTGGCTAATCAAACACTTTGGAAACTCTCTGAACAATGAAGAACAAGACCATCTTCCTACTCATATTGTCATGTACAATGCGCTGTTACCAGTTAGTTATTTATGTTATTGTTTTATTTGCCTGTGTAAATACAATATTATTGTAGCAAAAATCACACTAAAAAAAATCCAAATCTTAAGACACATTGGAGACTTCAAAGGCTTGACACAATTCAGCAGGCAGAGCATGCTTTTTTCATCCTTGATTACAGTCAAGCCAGGTCAAGCGTACCCCACAAGATTCCATTAATGAATTTATTATTAATACGAAAGTTGAATCCGTGGGTGGTTGTTGATTCATCTCTGTGTTCTTGCATGCATAATGAGCCATGAATTCACACGCGATTCAGTTATGAAATTTCTACCAGCTCAGTTTCCCTGAATTTGATGTAAATGCCTTCTAAGAAATTTCATCCATTCAAAGATTTTCAATCTGGCCAACTGCAGACAAGTTTTCGTGAAATATTCACTGCTCATTACACATGCAGGAATGCCGAGGATTTGAATGTGACACTAGTTACGAGAACGACTAATGGATTCCTTTTTTTCAAATAATTAATTCATTAACAGAATCTTGAGGGGTATGCTTGACCTGCCTTGACTGTAAGACAAGAGTTCTGCTTAAAGTTGGTGGAAATCCTTAGCCCATGGCCCTTAGTGACAGCCCTGGTATAAAGCAATAGAGACCTTTAGATTCTAAGACGAGTAAGACAACTTCTAACTACAAAGTCGTGCACGTGCGTGAACCAACATCATTTTGGTGGGAAAACGTGATAGTCGTCGTCATTCTGCTACAAGTTTTAGCAAGAATGTCATGTTAGTGGGACACAAGTTATTAAGCGTTATAGGTTTCACTATTTTGCCGCTGGGAGATAACTTAACCTACTTCAATAAAGATAACAGTGCTAATTTTTTTGGACAAAAGGATGTACAAGAAGCTGTCCAGGGTGTCTATTATTTGAGAAAACGTGAAAAAACTTTAAGTTAAATCTCGTACTTGTAGTCTTTCTCGTCCTAGAATCTAAAGTTCTCTAGTATCTATCCACAAAATTTTACCCCAAAATTTGCATATTACTCCTATGCTATTAGCAAACAGTTACTCCTGCCATCAAATAAATATAATCATTATATATAGCCCATGTTCAGCAGCAGCCTAGACAAAGTGCTAACCTCCTTTAACTTATGTTATCTTTTTTAATCGTTGTAGGATGTTGCAATGATTTTGGACAAGTTTCTGTACAAACAGGTAACTTAAGTACAATAATATCAAAATTATAATTGTATTTCCTGAGAGATGATTGTTTCTAGCATTAAGAAAATTGAAGGCTAGAAGCATTTTGCTGTATTGCCATCTATTATCGATTTTCCTATAGAATTTTGTTGTGTCTAACTTTGTCTTGAGTGAAAGCATTGCTTAGTGTACCAGTGCTTGTCAATGCATTCTTTTAATGTAATTCCCTAGAAAACAAACCTGTGAGACTGTGATAGATAATTTTCAAAGAAACTTGGTTCAGGCTCTGGAAGAACAATGCAGTGCAGTTGACCTGGTTCTCTTTTTCTTTTTCAGCAAGCAATGTTCTTTCACACCCATTTTCCAGATGAAAGGATAGGATCAGAAGTATTGGTATATAGCAGAGAAAAACCACCTGAAACTAAGGAAAAAGCTTAGGAAATAAAATTACTGTATATTTCTCAACAACATGTGTTTAATGACAAAAGGATGAACATGTTTGACATGGGGTTTCTGAACTTCCCTGACTTTTTCCTAAGAAATGTAAAATTTCCCTGACCAACTGAACAAACAATTTCACAAATTATTCCTGAGAAGGGACTCAACCCTTCCCTCACAGTCATCCTCTCCACCCATTTACAGTTAAACCTGTGTACAACGGTCACCCTTGGGAAATGGCAAGGTGACTGTTATATACAAAGTGACCACTATATTACAGGGGAACTTTGCAGAAAGTATAAGACAACTGAAAATTTTTCCAAGTTGTTGGGTGACCGTAATATGTGCGGTGACTGCTATATACAGGGCCATTATTTATAGGTTTGACTGTATTTATGCTTTCAGTAAGTCATGTGCAGTGTACATAACATAACATGACCTGCTGCTCAATTTCATGAACGATAATCTACCAATACAACAGGATTCGTGTCAATAAAATGTATTAATTAAAGAACTTTAAATGTTAGAAAACAAGAAAAGCAGAGGGAAAAGAATTAATATGCATGCACTCTTAAGACTTCATTTTCCCCTGACTTATTCCAAAGATATAAATTTTTCCTGACAAGAAGTGAAATTCCCTGACTTTTCCCTTACCTTGAAGAATTTTTTTCCCTTTCCATTTCCTCACCAGTGGCAACCATGTTTGATCTCCTCAAGAAAAACTCATTGCAACGTAATAAATAAATGTGATTTTTATTTTAACCCCCTCTTGAACACCTTATTGGCTAAAACACGATTTTTACTTCTTCAGCCACTGTTGATCACAATACTACTTTCCACAACTGTACAAGACTTGACTTGACTATGACTTGCAATTGCATCTGAGGAAGAGAAATACCATTAAATAAAGAATCAGAAGAAAGATTTTGCTCATGCACAAAAAACATTTTTAGACAAGGTAGTGAATTTCAAGGACTTTTCAAGACCTAATAAAGAAATAAACTGTACCTTTCATAATTCAAGGACCTTCACCAAATTCAAGGACTTTTCAAGACAACTACTAAAATTCAGGACCTTTTCAAGATTGTACGAACCATGCCTATCTCCACTGAATTCAATGGGTTAAGTAATGAGAGCATTGATGTCCCCTACATCAAAAATGGCAACCAGAAGTTGCTATTTTCTCTCTTTCATTGCTCTGACTGTACAAATAGAGCCAGAGTTAAAACAAAGGCATTCTGATTCGTTGTGTAAGATAGGATCGTCCCATCAAGTAAGACATCAAACTTCCGGTTGCTATTCATGACTTCCAGGACATCAGTGTTCTTGTTTGCTTAAGTTCGCAATTGCAGACAGGACTCAGTGAAATAGGCTGTGATCCAGACCATTATCTTCTTTTGGCAATTTTGTTTTGCGAATTTCAGTGTTTTGCTCTCTGTGGAAGGTTGGCATAACTGGTGCATGTGACCTGGTCAAGTTCTGGACAGGCAACTGACACATTTCTTGTTTCCAGTGAAAATTTTCATGCTTTGTGGTTTCTGGTGTGGACAATTAAAATTTATAAAAGATCAATGCACTGTCTGTTTTTCTTTCTCCACCTTGACCTCATGCTCTAGCCTTCCACACAGACATTCTTGGGGCTTCCAATCACCCGTTCCCAAACCGTGGGAGAGGATCCTCCCATAAAGTCTGGATGGGAGGCCGTGTCTCCTTTTGTGTTCCAACTCCCAAGTGACTTCTCCCAACTTTCCCAAAAAGGATAGCTCTCTTGCAGGCCATACAGTTGTCTGCCACCAAGTGGCCACTTTGATTGGTTATGCTCTAACTGCACTTTTCACAAACACTTGAACTCTAAAGTTCAAAAGCTGCCTTCATAATTGCATTTTTCACAGCCATCAATCATAATATTGAGATCGAAATCTACCAATCACAGATCAAAACCATGACCTAAGAGGTCTGTTAAGATGATTGGCGACAGCAAAAATTGCAAACATCAGTTGTCTTTTCAGCTTCAGAGTTCATGGTTTTTGAAAGTGCAGTAACATTCTTTGAAAAATATCAACAAAAGGGACACAATGTCTCTGCATCGGAACATTTAATATTTCATCCCATAAAAATGGAAACAAATATGTACAAATTTTTTTACGTTCTTACTCATCGTAAGTTTTAATATTATTAGCCTGAAAGGAAAGTGAAGCTTTATAAAATAATACTATTATTTACATGTTTTAGCTTTTTAACCAAAATTGGATATTGATTTAAACAATCATGGCATTTGTTTAGCAAAGTTAAAGCATAAAATTAAAAGAACAGTGAACTCTTTCTGAGCATGAAGCACAAGGACTCCTTCTTAAGCTCTTCTGTACACTACCACTTGTTACTGAATATTTCAAAACTTGCATGACACTTAACTTGAAAGCAAATTTGAAAATTTTAAACAAATATGTGGAGTAATCAAATCTGACAGTTTCCATTACACTAACCACCCCACAAACTAGGACTTCTTTTGCCAAGCTCCAAATGGCCATACACATCTCTCAAATCCTATTTCCAGTTTTCTATCTGGGCTAAAATTAATGATGCTCATTACATAGATGCAGGATAACTAAAACTTGCTGTCTGCGATTAACAAACTTCCACCAGTTGGGGAATTAAAACTAAATCTCTGATATGGATAGGTACGATGTACATTGCGTAACACGACAATTACCCTGCAAGCAGTGGTTTCTTCAGACCAGTCGCTACACTACAAAGTGTAGTGTTCGGTCTGAAGAAACCATTGCTTACAGGATACGCAACAATAAATGAAAGCAAGATAGAATAACATGCATTAATATATGCAATCAAAAGATGCAGAAATGAAAGAAATAAAGTCATATCTTGCTGTAGGTGCACAACTGGGGCAACAACTTATAAATTGATAAAATCTTCAACAGGAATATGACTTTCTCCTTTGCAGGCTCAAGAGTAATGCTTAGACATCTTTCCCACTATGTTCATTTTCTCATGTAGGTCACATCAATTCAGTTCTCACTGGACTGCCTTTCTCTTGAATATGAGTATATGTGGTTCTAAAAACAAACCAAGAGACAACAAAGATTCAGGTGAAAAAAAAAACGTTGGCAAATACTAGTAGAATTTTGAAAGTTTGCAGAAGGATGGAAAAAGTGTTTTTAAAACATAAACCTCCAGTTTCTCAACCTGCTACAGCCTTTTTCAATGCAACCCCTCAAAACTGCCACATTTAATATGTTATAAAACGAAGTGATAGATATTCAACTTACCCGGGGCGTGCAACAGGAAATGGACCCAGCCTTGAGACATCTGAACACCTAAACGTCGCCATTCTTGCTCGGACATAAGCCTGTCTCTTGGAACTTTTTTAGCGATGTCCTTCGGTAAAATTACGTGCCTTGTACATAAAAAAAATTGGAGGTTACTTAGAATATCAGCAAATACATGACCAAAACTTGTATACTATTTTAAGAGGACCTTCTGTTAGAGCAACTGCTAACGGCATTTGAAATTCTTCGCTTCTGACAACATAGAGAAGCCCCGTAACTTAAAGTTTTCTTTTAAAGAAGAAATAATAAATAATACTGAATTGTTTACGCTATCATCACGGGTCTTCTATCGATACAAGCTAAAAAAGTTATCAATGATAAACCACGTGTAAACCAGTACACAAGTGCTTTATTACAGTATTTCGGTCAAAACATACAAAATTCAGTTATTACCTGATTTCGTTGCCCTCGTCATCTGGAATTTTGGAGGAGTAGTAGATATCTTTAACCGACATTTTGCAGACAGATTTTGAAGAAATAGCGAATGAAATAAAGCTGCACAGAACAGAAGCAAGTACGTAGCAAATCGAAATCCCTGTCGCAACGGTTGGGGAGGAAAAGTAATTACAAAATGTGCGGCTTTTATTTTGATTGGTCGAAAGGAAAACGAGGTCAGTTTCTGATTGGTCAAAAAAATACTCCCCAGTTTCTTTCAGTTTTTTTTTGGCGCCCGCAACGCCTGCCTTTATTTGACTGTCACCACCCTAACGGGTTATCTCAGACATTATACGTTTCTTACCCTTTTCGCGCCGGTATTACACTGTAAATCACACCGATCGACGATTCAATCATATACGGAAATGTAAGGACAATCTTGAGTGATAAAGCATTAGAAAATTTCTGTTTAAGGGTAGAATTGTACTATTTTGATTATGCCTGTTACATGCAAACAAAATAAGTGCGGTGATTTGATAAATGCAAATTTTGCATTTAATAAGTGTTACGGACTTTGTACCTGCACACAGACCCGTTGTTTTATTTTTCTTTTCGTTCTTTTCGAACGTCTACTCCCTTGCACTGGAGGTAAATAAATCCCCCGCGGTTACGCGCGCTCAACAGACTTTGAAGAGAAAATAAAGCCCGGCGGTGGTGGTGGGGGGGCAGGGGCGGGGGAGCTCCCTTATATAAGGTATATAGGTATGTGCCGCCCCATCGGGTAGGGTTTTTGCGCCGTTTGGGTCTGAAAACAGGCATACACTTTGCCCATTTTGTTCTGGAATCGGCTATGGTTTTGGAGGGAACTACGGGATTGACGGGATTGTATGAACGTCTTTATCGATTCAATTCCAGAAGGGTAAGAGAGAAAGAAAATGTCAAAAATATGCGAATTCAAAATGGATTGAAGAATTTTGAGTTAGTTTGCGCTCTAATCTATGTAATGATAACAAAAGTTCTGCCTAAAGGCCAGGGGCCCGTTTCTCGAAAGTCCCGGTAACTTTTCGGGCCCGAAATCAAATATTCAAATCAAAATACAAAGAATAAGAGCGGGTGTCCTGGCCAGCAAACTACTCCATTTTGTTTCATTAATTGATAGTTTTATCATGTAAGATGCAAAACTATTGAAACCTCTGTCTGGCATGTAAACCAGAACAGCTTTACGGGCCCGTTAATTATCGGGACTTTCGAGAAACGAGCTCCAGGTCTGAAAACAGGTATGGATTTTAGAAGTCTGGTCTGAGAACGAATGTGGAAAATTATATTTTTTGCTCTGAAATAGGTTCAGGAATTGGCGAACTGGGCGGCACACCCCCACCAAGAATTCCCAGGAGTACCCGCCCGAGAAATAGAGGGTCTGTGAACAGGCTACAGACTTTGTAGTTTGTAGACTTCAACTGTGTACACGATCGATCCACAAGAACTGAACGTGAATTTGTACACTTTGATTAAACAAAAACCATAAAAGCTTTTGCTTTGGGAAATTAATTTCATTTTCATGCAAATATTTTAAAATATAATTTTATCCATAAATCAGTTGGAGAAGTACACATGCATCTGCGTTCCCCTCCCTCCTAAGTGGCAAACTCTAAGGGATATGGACAAAGTAGTTATTTTTTCATGCAATTTAAAGAGGACAGATGACAAATTGCTGTTGCTTGAAATATCTTAAAGTCTAAGCACAATTTGAATTGGGGGCGCTGAAGACTCACACCAGAGGTGTGAGTTTGTTTGGGGGGTCTTGGACGTCCTTCCCCAGAAAATTTTGAAATCTAGAGGCTAAGAAATGGTATTTTCAACATACTAAAATTCGGAATACTGCACCCAGACAAATCTTCCAGTACTAGTGACATCATTGCAATCAATGAGTAATAATTTGAGGAGTGATCTGACTGGTTTTGATTTTAAATCATTGATGCGATCCTGGTATGAAATCCAGGAAATTTGAAAAAGTATACAAGTCTGTATTAAACGTCGTTTTAGCCAAAATTCTGGAAGATCATGAAAAACTTGGTGACTCTTAGAATAATTTACTTCCTCTATGGAGAAATTACCTTTTCTCACCCCTGGAAATGGTTTTTGGGAATCAGCAGCAAACAACACAGGGACTCAAGAGATTCATAAACTGCAAAGGTTGTATTTTGCACTATTCAGTCACTTACTGTAACACCATATTTTTTTTTACTCAGTTAAATACATCTTGTTTAATTTAAGCTTTGAAGGACATTCTCAAATAAATAAATTAATATTAAATATAACACAATATATTATTCTATTCTTTTAGCCAAGTTAATGTACATAAACATTACAATATCAGAGAATTCAATGTAAGCAATCATAATAATTAATTTGTATATTAAGTTACGCAGTCTTACTCTTTACATATAAATAATCATTATTCAATAATTTTTATACATAAATTCAAAGCAGCATTAAGGCAGTGCAAGCTAGTGAATGCCAATCTGTTTGAGTTGCAATCATCAGCCAGTTCATTTTCTGTTGGTTGCCATGTCACTTCTTTCTCGTCTGAACAACAAAATGTGGGGCTCTGAAATAATGATATTGCAATATATAAATTACCATTCTCATGATTAAGAGAAATTTTACTCAAAGTCTTGTTTGTTATCTTCAGTGAAGGCTTGCTCTGGCCCATAACATTAAATGTTATAGCCGAAGCAGTCCTTGAGACTTTTACAAATGGCAGATCTCTCGGTGTATTTATGTCCAGAATTTAATCCTCTAAATTTATATTAATTTTTATTACAAGCCTTTTTATAAAGTAAAGCAAAACTCCCAGACAAACTGCAGCCCTACATTTCCCCCGCTCACCTCCTTAACTAATCAGCCATGAAAAAATGTCCATCAAACTAAGAGGTACCAATATTTTAACACACCAAATTAACTGAAACGGACAATTTTTATATCAATTAAAAGTACTCAGTGACTAAGAATGAAAATTGGTCCCTTATTTCATTTCGTACTCAAAGTTTTGGAGCTGAATAACATAAAATGTCCCCCAAGAGTATTGACTCTCTTGTTATTTTTTATTTTAGTACCCCAGGCAGTACCAGCCCAGAAAGTTTACACGCTGAAAGTTACGAGATTCTTAGAGTGAAGAAACCCCGGGGGGTAGTGTTAAGGGGATTATTATTTCATTTTACGTTTGGCTAAACTCATTTTCTTACTCGTATCATAGCTGAAACTGGCGTTTTGAGTGAGATGAATAAATAAGAGCATGAACAAAGAATTGAGCATAAGGTGGCACATACCTGGCTCATGTTTCATGTAATTTTCCCATCCTTGAGACTGTTGAACACCAAGGCTTCGCCATTCGGCCTCCGACATTAAATGCTTTTTAGGTACAAGCTTTGCTATTTCTCTTGGCAGCAAAACATGCCTTGAAAAGAAAACGAAGGATAAGACGACTTGCAAGAGTGTGGCGTTCCGCCAGATGTTCCGCCATGCCAGACGGCTTAGATCAAAATAAACACTTTCAGCCTACTTTCTTGCGAAGAGAAAATTTTGCCTTCGAGAGTTTCTATTTTACAGAGCTTGAGAAACTTGCTATCGTTAATGTTTTTATTAAAAATAACAGCGTTTTTTTATGTTCGTTCACTGCCAACTTTTCAAGACGCGAACTTTATAAATGGCTGCGTGCTTGGGCAAGATGACAAGCCACGCTAAAAGACATATTTGAACTTTTAAAAGGTTTTACCTGTACTCAAAGACGTCGTCATAGTATTTTTCGGAGTAATAAATCTGCTTGACGGACATTTTCTTCAAACACGCGTTCACGACACGTACACCTCGCTTTCGCGGAGTTTCTTTCAAGATTAGCGCGCTAGTTTCTGATTGGCTCCTCTCGAAAAAGCGGAAGCTTGGGTCCAAACTCCCAAAACGCATTTCGCGTCAGAAATTTCAAGATGGCGGACGTCTACGTGGCTTTTGCGCTCTCACTTTACAAACTTTTTCATTTTCCAAAATCTTCCCTGTTAGCTGAATGTCAAGGGACGTCATCTAAGGGCAATAAAGCTGTATGAAATAAATGCACTCTGTAAGATGACAGACTCTGAAGGAGCTAAGGAGCGTGTGTTGAGAAGGCTTGAAACAGACATTACTTCTGCTGACGTTCGCTGGAGTTTGTTTATTTCAGCATTAGAAAGCTACAGACATGACAGTATATTGCGACCATTTCCTTCTGCATATATAGAAGATGATGGGAACAAGAATTTTCAGGTTCTGGTGAGTGCTTGACAAAAAGAATTTTTTTAAAAGAAAAAATGCTAGTTACCTCAGGGCCATTCCATTTTATGTCCATACCCACCCTGACATGATTTTCTTTAAAACTTTTGATTTTTGATTATGTAAGTCCCCCTCCATAACCTGTCCTAGGATCACCATGTTTATTTTTTTTTTCCCTATTTTTCAAGATCCAGATTTGTAGCACAGTTCCTTCATTTGACAAGTTGGTGAGAGGTAATCAAACTATTATTTCTCAGGAAGCTTGGGAACTATTGGATTGGTCACTGGACAGAACATTTACTCTGAAAACGGTTGACAAATCTAAGGTATTTGAACTTCTATTCCAATGTAAAGCTGTACGGAGACAAGAAAACAGTTGTCAGTTTTCTCTCAATGTTGGTCTTTGCAAGTTGCAAAGGATGGCATGATATTTACACCCAAAGACCATGAGCTTCACAAAATAAAGTGGTCCTTGCGAGGTGCAAGACAAAAGAGCCTCATATGCCCATAGTCTCACTCTTTACATTTTTCACTCTAACTCTACAATGACTTTAGTCCTTGGGTTCCTGCATGCTCATAGGCTATGACCAATATAAAATTACGCATTCTTTGAAGCCTAAAAATATCTATATGCATCTTCTACCTCCCACCCATCAAAGGACAGTAAAAATTATGGCTCTGAGGGGAGGGTAAGGGAAGCCTCTAACCACTACAAACCCCAAGCTAAGGTACAGAAAACACTCCCATATAAGATCCTGTGGATTTAAGAACTTCCAGGCAGAAATTTGCCACTTTAATACCCAAAAGCAGGTTCTTTTATGTGGGTTGCAGTTAAAAAATTATAAATATACAGTTTAACCAAGGGGTGTATAAGACAGTATAATACGAAGAACATACCATACCAAACTGTAACTGTATTAATCCAAACAACAAAAGCAAGTTTTTATAAAGAAGAGTGTGTAATTTATTATTGTCTTCATGGACCTTGGATAAAAGAGGTATATTTTTAAAGGACCAAACCCAAGTTTATTTATTTTTCTGATAATCAATAATCAGTCATAGAAATTAAGAACCTACTCAGCCTAAATTGCCAATAAGTTAGTTCCCCAAAATACAAGAACCCATTTTGCCAGACTTAAAAAAAAGTAGGTTCTTTATGCGGGTGTTAACTGTTGACAATGAACTGTCCTGAAACGCACCTCTCTACAAACTGGTCACATAAAACTCTGTCCAGAATACATCCCACTAGCCTTTAAGATATTTTTTCTGTAATATTTATGCTTTAGTTCTCCGAGATAGAACAGAAGACTGGTCAGGCAAGTTACAGTTCCACAGAACCTGATTACATATTTGAAGTTGAGTACAGTGAGACAAATACTCACAGCACAAAGTTTGATGAATTATCACAGTCCTGTGATGTTTGGTATGCTTACCATGGCAGCAGAGTGGACAATTTTCATTCCATTTTACACAATGGATTGCATGCACATTTAAACAAGGTAAGTCTTCGGGTGTTTTTGTGTATTTCTTTTAGCTTAAATATGGAGAAATGATTCTCTTGCCACAATACAGCATACAAGTCCTTGGAAGAAACAACCACCATGTCAAACATACATTTTCACTTCACACCAACTACTTTGTTTAAAACTTTGTTACAGAATGTAGTTATTCCTATAGCAAAATAAAGAGCCATTGTTTTAATTTATTTTTGAGCAAGAGTGAATACAAATAAAGATTGTTGTAGTTGTTGTTGTTAAAGAGAATTAACCCTGCTCACAGTGTTCTCCTTATCAGGTGGTGACCAGTAAAATTTACGGCCTGAAGCAACACTTCTTACTACCTGCAACTGCTTGAAGGTTTACTAAAAGTAAATAAATTGTTTTAAAAAATACTCAAGTTGTGATCCGATTCGATTCCGCCAAGGAAGTGAATGAATATATGGAAAAGTACTAAAGTATACACCTGCAGCTTTTCTTTTTATATGGGCCGCGCATTTTGGAAAGAGAACATTAAGGTCAAAGTAAAGTTATTGGAACCAAACGTTTTAAATTGTTGTCTAAAAATAACTTCAGCCAATTTGCGTAAAATAGGTCTTAAAATGAGGGAATGACGTTTCAGAGAACTTAGTTCCTAAATTTACCAGTGAGGGTGGGTCCACTATCCCCCTCCCCCTGGGAAAGTACACTTCTGGCCCTAGTTGTTCAAAAATCAATATCCATTGGATAAGTTTTTGGAAAACCAATTGCGCTATCCAGTGGATCGAGATTCATCCGCTGGATAGTGCTATCCACCTTCTAAACAACTAGGGCCTGGTGCATATTTTTTGCCTTACCGGCCATGATTGGCTCCTTACCTGCTGAGCTAAAATTTAGGCAGAACACTGTATTTCCCAGTCATCTGGCAAGTGCCATCCCAGAGGTCACTGCATGGGTACTGCTAGAATGGACCTGGACTGGCTCACTTAAGCAGCTGCCAATTATCTTTTTTCAATAACCTTAGACAGTGGTTGTTTACCATTTACAAAAAAGTTCCAGAAAATCCAGTTGGAAAGAACATGTAAAGACTTTTTGGGTTGTTTCAGTGGAAATTTCCAGGAAGAACAGAACATCTGAACGGGTAGTTTTGTTTTCTTGATCGCAATGTTCCAAACAGAAATTTGTGTTCCATTTTTTCAAAGCCATGTATGATACCAGTTTCAGGCTTTAGTGGCCGTTTTATGGTAAATGGAACTGATTTATAGTGCAAATGATAAAGGCAATTCCGGGTTAAAATTAACCAGTCCTGAATTTTGCTTACCATTAATTTTGCTTAAATCATGAACTGACCAGTTCGCCCATGTAAATGGTAAACAATCAGCAACAATACCTTAATATATTTTTCGCTTCATATAGACATCATTCTTTGGCGAAGGAACCTACCTTTCAAGTGACCTTGCTGTATGCATGATGTATAGTAACTATGGACAAGGGTGGAAGAACAGTGCGATTGGAGACAAAATCAGCTGTGTTGCAGTCTGTGAGGTCTTGGACCACCCAGATGTCAAATGCACAGTCAAATCAAAAGATAGTAATGAGAGACAAAACCGTTCACGGGCGCGAGCAAGAAACAGTGAGGGAGGGGATGTTCCTGAGAGATATTATGTGGTCACAAATAACCAGGTGGTCAGAGTCAAATATGTGCTGGTATATGCCGAGAAGAAAACTCCAGCCAGGTATGTTCATTAAGCCCCAATGTCCACATACAAATTCTCCAGACTGACCTCAATACATTTCCTTATAAGATTAGTCAAGAGAATTTGGCAAAAAAATCAAAGCATTTTCTCTTCAGAGATCATTTTGATAACTCTCCTAACTTTTTCTCTTAATGATAAATTAAGACTGTAGGGAGAAAGTAGATGTTGATGACTCTTGGGGCTTAAAGGGTTAACTATGAACTACATCTACTGTATTTGTTAGCCAGAAATGTTGAGGGCCAACTGTATCTAATCTACCCCATTACTATGGCCACTGGCCGATTTTTGGCCATGTCCCCAAACCTTAATTTCTTCACTGTTTACCTTTTCAAGAAAATCAGTTGAATTCTTGGTTAAAGCAATCAAGCTTTTTCTTTGAAAGTCCTTCCAAGGTTACCAATGAGTAGTCAATGATGTTTGTGACAAATATTTTCTGGATTTTGTATAGGGAGAAGTCAGAATTTAACTGTATTTGTCATCACATAGTTCAAAAAAGTTAAGTATATTAACATCACACATGACACTATGCTTTTAACATGACCGGATTTTCACAGCCAAAGCCCAGCCTGACCATAGTCTTTGTACTACTCCATGTACTACTCCACTAACAAACAAAAAATGTATGATAATTTATAGCATTAAATGTGCTAACAATAGTTCTCTGTTTCCTTCCAGGGCACAAGGTCATAACTGGCTTATATTCAGACATCCAATAGCATCTATGATGCTTGCTTATATCTTCATTTTAATTCTTGTCGGTTTGTCAAGAACTAGATTTTTCCAAAAGTTTTATGGCAAATATTTTAAAGGCAGTTAGTATATAATATTATTAGGTTTTAACTCTTGATAGAATTCAGTTAAATAGGATAATGATTATTTAAATTTAATGTTACACTTAAAAAACAAAACGAATTTCTAAAATAGTGGACAAGCATTTTCAAAGAGATTTACTTAACACAGAAATAGATGTGTACACTGTTGATGCTCATGTGTATGTCCCTAGAACCATGCCCAGTGTTTGAAAAAAGTTGACCAAAGTGAAAGTGCACTAGTTTTCGGAGCTGGTTTGCAAGCACTCCACTCAAATAATAAAAAACAAATACCAATAATCAAAACAGAACACAACAGGATTAAATCCCAACTGGTTGGGGGCAACAAGTTGGCCATTTGAATGTGGGACAACCAAGAAACAAATCCCAATAGCTATCAGAGTAGGGACTCTAACATGAGACCCCTGATTGTGTGTCTGAATTGCTGATCATTTGGCTACGCACCAACCTCTCCGTTGGGTATTCTGTGCAGAGTAAATGCACAGGGCTACTACTAGGGGTGGGTCTTACACCAAGTACAAGGCACGTGGAGTGACGTGTCTCTCAGACCAATGACGCCAGGGTTAGCTTTTGCTGTCCATATTAAAGAGTTTGAAACAGACAAAGCTTCCTCAGCTTCGAAACTTAAATATGGAGACCAAAAAGTAATTTTATTGGGTCTGTAAGCAACCTCTATTATGAAACCAGGTCGTATCAGTGGTTCTTTCTTATTCTTCTAATAAATTGAGGATATTTTACAAAAGTTATACAAAAATGCTATTTTTGACAAACCAGGAATTTTGCTTGTCAGGCCCAGCATTTATAGTTGACTGTTTGGTGAAAATTGCTTCTGACTAATGTTAACGATTTTACAAATGTATTGAAAGGTTTATATTTGTAACTTTTGCAGAACAATGAAATACATTTTCTAATCACCATTATAGGTATATTAAGTTCAGATTAACTTCTATTTAGGAGTTTTGATATGCTTATAAGTTATTTCTATTGATACGATATTACCTTTTTGTATCAGAATGCAGACCAACATCATGTAACATAAGAATATATTTTGGTTGCGCTCTTGAGGAACGTTGTAAAACTGACATATTTGTGCTCGTTTTCATGACAAAATAAATTCACCAAAACTGGGTCCATTTTGCGGTACTAATATTTTAACCGTTAGTAAGCCTCCCTTTTGAGAGAAAAAAAGTTTATTAAGCCATTTGGATTGTAAAGATGATTGCCTCTACAAAAACATTGCGTCACGCACATCAACAAAAGTAAAGCTACTCGCTCTCTTATTCCTATGAGTCACTTGAGAAGACAATAATCATGTCAGGATTTTCACCTTCCTGGTACCAAATGTAGTATCGAAAAATATGTCACAACGTTCCAGTATTACTATCGTGAAAAAATGGCTTGAAACATGGCTATTTTCTTCCCTTTATCGGTTAACACCATCTCGTTTTCCCTTTAACATGATTTCGAGGTTAAATAAAAATGACCATTTATCGGCTTTGTCCTGGAATTTTTTCTTCAAAAAAAATTAAAGAAATAAGTTGTCCGAAAGTTGTCTGAAAGAGCAAACGCTCGGAATAGAAAAACACTTTTGAAGTTTCTATTTCGCGTTGAACAAAGATGTGTGACATGTCTCAGAAGAGGACGATATTTATCATGTGCTCTTTTAAAAAGTATCTTGGAGAAGTCTAAGGATATAGGACCATGTTGGTTTTCTTGTGGAGCAAGTCGCTAAGAATTTATTTGGGTGCAACTTTCAGCATCGCTTTCACGTTAAATTTATTTTTACAGTAGGCCGTTTACACGATGGCGTCATTTTACTACTATGACCAGAATCCTTATCGTTTTTCCTTTCATATTTTAATTTGGTAATTCCAGTGAGGTTTCGATAACAAAAGCCCTAATTTGCACAAGAAAGCAAAGTCCTGAAGGATTCTGGTCGTAGTATAAAATGACGTCATCATACAACTGGCCTATTGTCGACTTTTGAAAACAACTGTAACTCTAAACTTGTACCACAATTTAAAACCACGAACTATCTAGCCAAAAGAGGGTACTTAAATGTATCAAAATCCATCATCAAACCTTTTCTGCCCTCTGGGTTAAGCAAATCGGACCTTAGTTTATATCAGCGTGAAATCGATCGAAAAGAATAACTTCGACACATAGTTGGGGATTGTTTGATCAAATCAAGAACTGAGGTGGTACCGGAGTGACAACCTCGTCCCCGGGGCTTTTCCCCAAGAGGACGGTAGGGGTGCCTTCCTCGTTCCGAAATGTCTCTCTTCGTCCTGTTAATGTTCTTAAAAACGTCGACGGTGGAAAGTTGAAAGCGGTCCAAGGTCTTAATTCTCGTTTTCCAAAATCGGGGCAGGAAAGCGCGAGAAAGAAAAGACGTCAACAGCTTTGCTCTGTTAGGGCCGCCAAATTGAAAACCAAAAGCTGCCCTGTGGACACGGTTGAGACGGTTTCATTCACCGAAGGGATCTTTGTGGGTGAAAGGTCACAACCAGAATGTGAAATGTTTGCCCACAAAGACTGGCTACCCTTGGATCTTTCGAGAATAGTCAACTCTTAGAACGTTCCTTTGGAACTGTGGGCTCCTCACACTAGGGCAATTATTCTGTTCCGGACTTTTTGACGCATATAATCTTAGTAAGCATTTATTATAGGACTTTTTCAATAATGTTTGTTATTTTTAAGTCTTAGGTTAATGCGCACGGCTCTTTAGAAGACCACTTTTTAGTGATAAGGATTCCGTGGTTAAATAAAGTTATTACTTGCTTACTTACTTACTTACATATAACGTACCCACTACAATATCCCGCCCCCGTACCCGTCGGCAATTTCACTTTGGGAAGGGTAGGACACAAAAGTTGCTTCCCCTTAGGCAAGAGTCTTTTCAGATCCAGGGTAAATTGGCTAGTTTAACTGCAGCTTTTACATAGCTTCAAGGTATTTTTTTCTTGCGGGAACAAAGCGGGAATTCCCGAGCGAGAAAGAGACGCCCATCCTGCTCGTCCGGGTAGCCAATCAGAACTCAAGTTAAATTCGCTTCATCTTGACCGCTCGAGGAGCCAGCCGTATAGTAAAGGGTGTTCCCAAAGACGACAAATTTATCTCAACTGTTCACGCCTTCATCCTCGCAATTCAAGGTATGCTATACTTGAATTTTAAGTCTGAATGAATAGTATTTATTCACAATTAATAAAACGCCACAACAGGCCAGAGCCCCGATTTTAGTGCGCGCCGGAGGAGGCCTAATCTCCACAGCAACCACCGCAGATCGGTTTCCAATAACAGACAAGCGTTACTTTCGTGATTAGTTTTTTAAAGCATTCCTCCAGACACCTTTGGAGAGCGCCGGACACATTGCCTGTCAAGGAACTTTGTACTTCTGAATTAAACGAACCAGGCATCTCAAAGAAACGCGAAATTTGATCAGACTATTTGGGTATTATAAATTCATTTCACGGTCGATTGAAAATTTCAGGGGCACCCAACGACAATTTTCGGAGAAATATCTGTTCGGAAGACGATTTGAGATCTAGAATTTTCGGAACATTTGCTGTAAAATTTCTTGCTTGCCTGCCTCTCCTAGGATTTTCGGACATCTAAAAAATGGTATAATTGCCTATTTTTAACGGATTTTTACCCTAAAAAGGTCACCTAGAATTTTCGGGAGCCTTTTTTCCGGCTAAAATTTTCGAAAAGGTAAGTTTTGATCCCTATAATTTTCGGATCACTTGACTTTCAGCTAGGAAATCCGAACAGATGAAAAATTTTCAGGGGATAAAAATATGCCTATATCTACCGTTTAAATACTAAAATACGTTTAACAATTCTATATTTAAGTGGTTTTGAACTATATTCTCGTTGGGTGCCCCTGAAATTTGGAAGTCGCTCTTCGCGGCTGGCTTCGCAATTGATAACTACAGTTTTCTCGCCGCATTTGGATTCAAATAGGCTTGATTCGCTTTCAATGGTTTCTCAAGTACTTTCTTTTAAGAAAATAGTGCTCCGATGGCTTATTTAACTTCTTTCAAGAGTAGTATGCCGTGTCAACATTGGTGACTATGGAATGCCGTTTGTGTCAGAAATACTTCTTACCATATGTAAACCTTTACATTAAATATACAAAACATTTTGCTTTATGAATAGAACATCTTAGTTTTAGTATAAAGGTTATAGTACACAATTAAAACTTGTAACAAAATATATAAAACTTGCTGAAAAATTTTAACACTTGTTGCGTAATATATCAAACTTGTTAAAATATAAAACTTGTCATGCAATTTATAAAACATGTTGCAAATATAAACTTGTTTTTCTATAAATAAAAGTCATGAATATTCTCTGTTGATGTTCTTAAAAATGTCGACGGTGGAAAGTTGAAAGCGGTCCAAGGTCTTAATTCTCGTTTTCCAAAAGAGCGGTGCAGGAGAGCGCGAGAAATAAAAGACGTCAACAGCTTTGCTCTGTTAGGGCCGCCAAATTGAAAACCAAAAGCTGCCCAAGGGACACGGTTGAGACGGCTTCATTCACCGAATGTGAAATGTTTGCCCACAAAGACTGGCTACCGTTGGATCTTTCGAGAATAGTCGACTCATAGAACGTTCCTTTGGAACTGTGGGCTCCTTCACTAGGGCAATTATTCTGTTCCAGAGTTTTTGACGCTTATAACGTACCCACTGCAATATCCCGCCCCCGTACCCGTCAGCAATTTCACGTTGGGAAGGGTAGGACACAAAAGTTGCTTCCCCTTAGGAAAAATTCTTTTCAGATCCCGGGTAAATTGACTAGTTTAACTGCAGCTTTTACATAGCTTCAAGGTATTTTTTTCTTGCGGGAACAAAGCGGGAATTCCCGAGCGAGAAAGAGACGCCCATCCTGCCCGTTCGGGTAGGCAATCGGGTCTTTCTGCAGGTACCGGAAAGCTTTGTATTTTTGGTCACTTGGGATTAGTCTTTATTTGGAGTTGTTTTGTTTCCTGTCTTTTATTACTATTGTATTACGTAATCTGTGCTCCGGTACTCACAGAAGGAACCAGCCAATCAGAACTCAAGTTAAATTCGCTTCATCTTGACCGCTCGAGGAGCCAGCTGTATAGTACAGGCTGTTCCCAAAGACGACAAATTTATCTCAACTGTTCACGCCTTCATCCTCGCAATTCAAGGTATGCTATACTTGAATTTTAAGTCTGAATAAATAGTTTTAATTCACCATTAATCGTAAGCGCTCATAAATCTATGTTTCTAATCTATAATAAGTTTAAAACATCGTTTTTATGCACTCAGAAGTGGTAAGCTTAGTAAGACAGTACCTGGTACCATGATCGCGGACCATTATAACTTAACCTTCAGTGAAGCAAAGTTCAGTCACTTGCGCTGACGCAAAAAACGTTTACGTTACCTAAGATATGACATGCAAACTGTCTAGTACATAAAACTCACCCTGAACTCACCTTCCGATCTAGTAAGTTCGATCATCGTAACTGCTATCAATGGTATAACACGAATTAAATCTTCCTTGATGTTAAACCCGTCCTGTTTTTTAAGAACAGTTTTTTATTCAGAACGATTCAAATCATTTGAAAATCGGTTTAGCGAACTAAGAATCGTTTTAATTGTACAAATTGTCGATCACTGTCTCGGCTCGGGAGGTTAAAGCGGAAAAACTAAACACCTGTAAAGGGTCTAAGGTACTTTGTGGGGAATCTAATCTCTGGCTCCAATTCCCTGTGACACTGAAGACTCGCGTTGTAGAAATAAACCTATTTAATGCCTATAAAATCCTGGAATGTGTAACAATCAACCGAAAAGATCTCAGCTACAGCGTACGTGCTCCAGAAAACCTATCTACTCATCACATGATTCGAAATTCGATAGTTCAATCACTTAGCAACATGAAAATAAAAGTAACCATTTCTTAAGCTGTAAAACAACACGTCACTATGGAGGCCCGTTCTGGTCAAAATTAATAAAATAAAATGGCATCACCAGTGACTTTTTCGGCCAGTGCAGCATTTATTATGGACCTCTTGAGTATTTTTGTCATCACTAAACAGGATTTTTTTAATTTTTTTTTTATTTTTTTTCGCTGCATGAATTATTTTTTAATTAAGGCTGTTTACTTTTTTTATGTTGTTGTACGAATAAATTTTTCATGCTTACCACAAATAATTTTTTAGTGGTACCGCGAATTATTTTTAATACAAGTATTGAGAATTATTTTTTCATCGTGCTGATAATTATTTTTCGCTGTATCGCGAATTCATTTTTGGTTCTACAATGCTTTGCGGGCCTTGCAGTTGAAGTGGACTGGTTCGAGTCTTTGACTTCCTTGAGCGACCATTTTGAAAACTTTGCAAGTGGAGGAGTGTTTTCAAAGAGAATGCCAAGGCGAAACATTGTCAGAGAACTGAAACGACAGAGGTTTTCATCTTTCTTACAAAATCTGTCAGGAGCTAGTAGTCTGTCGTTAGTGATGAGGTTTTCTGGATCGAAGATTTAATAGAGGAGACTACGAAGGGACTTCACGACTCGTACACAATTCTAACCCTTATGCAGAACATGACATGTCTGCCCGATTGAACTGTTCTTTACCCGGTCTTGTCCTCGAATCTTCGTCTCGCACTACACATGCTGGTTTTCGGAACGAAGACGCAGAGAATGAGAATGTCCGCTACCCTGAAGTTCAGGAAGAAGCTCCCGATTCTAATCCAGACGGGCGAGCACCAGAAGCAGAGCCAGATGGACTCGAGGGAGAAGACCTATGCTGAGTGCTAGTTAGAGTAGACCTCACTAAATGGGAAATTCGTTTGATCTATCTAATTTTTCATTATTGGCTATACATCTCAGGTATCTGACGTTGGACTGACTCATTCATCTCCGAATATTAAAAACATAAAAATCAGGAATTACTATACTGCCATCGTAAAGGCACTCGAGCAAGTTCCCCATGTTAGTTAGTTAGTGAGGTCTACTCTCACTAGCACTCTGCGAAGGTCATATACCTCGAATCCATTTGGCTCTGCTAGTTCTTATGCCCCCCCCCGTCAGGATTTGACTCGGGAGATTTTTCCTGAAGTTCAGGGTAGAGGGCATTCTCTTCCACAGCAATGACAATGACAATGACAATGCTTTATTTATTTGGAGTCTTATACAGTCCTATGTACATTGACTTTATCCAAATAATTTATAATCATAAGACAAATTGCACACTAGTGGAACTATAATCAATGTTAACCTAAAGAACTAATGATCTTCTTTTCTCATAGCAGTCGAATACGTATTTTGCAATTAACTTTTGCACTGGTTTGTTCTTGCTCAGCATCTTCCTTTCCGAAAGCCAGCATGTGTGGTACGGGACGAAGACTCAAGGTGTAAGATTGGGTAGAGAACTGTTCAATTGGGGAGACATGTCATGTGCAATAAGCAGGGTGTCCAGCGGCATGGTTGCTCAAAAATATAGGCAAATAGGAGACTCAGCATTGAGAAAATAGGAAAAATAGGAAACTTTGTATTAAAAAATAGGAGAAAAATGGGAAAATCAATAGTACTTTTGTGGACAAAGGTAGCCTCCCTGCACCCCATCAGGGTTATAATAAATGCCACGAGTCCTCAGATTCTACGTTCGCAGGATTGAGATCAACTTTCGTGGCTAAGAAGGAGTAAAAATGATCAGTAACGTTTAGTTTATTGCCTTAGTTATGCTATAATCAGAATGATATGCTGGACTGCAGGTCAAGCGTGGTTCTATAATCAAAGGTGATCATATGCAAATTCCCCTCAAGTTGGCGGCAAATCTTTGAAAAGCTTTGAAGAGTGAAATTTCTTAGTATAGAAATTTCTTACGATTGAGTTGTCATTGAACAGTATCGAACTAGAACGTAAAAGTCCTATGGAAAGCTTTCCTTCCATTAATCTGCAATCGGTAGCTGGTTGAGAATATGCTTGTTTGAGTCAAAACACCGCATAATTTTAAGTACAAAACCAGGCTTTCTGCGGTGTACGCAAAATGACACTGATGTGTTTGGTACCAGATTGTAAGTTTGTCATGGTTAAGTTCTAAGAAGAACATAACACTGCTTAGCTATGACTGCAAGACCGGTTTTGCAACCAAAATATTGGATCCTTCATCAGTTGCTTAGGTATAGCTGTTAACAAGGGCTCACCAAGAGAGCTGGCGCCGTACACTAAACTTTAGTCTGTTCTTTTCATGTAGCATCCAGAATCAGCTAGTGATCATGATTGCTTTTTAAAAACAAGATGCTGATTGGATTGGCCTGTGTTGTGAGAGGACAACTTGATCCTGTTTTCAGTTTCAAAGATGAACATAAAAGTGAGCAAGACTTCAAAATAAAATATAACATGTACAGATACTGAAATGCAGTTTCAGTGGGCTATACACAATATTATTCAATAGTCAGGGGGAGAACTATAACACTACATACAATACATGTACATGAAGGTTAACAAAAATGTTAACAGAACTCTAACAGGCAATAGAGGTCATGCAAAGAACAAACGTAACTGTTATTTTTACTAATATTAGAATATCAAAGTCAACATACTACTTGCTTTATGATAAATTTCACTCAAAAACACATACAATTATAATTTCATTTTCAATTTTGTTAGCCTTCACCGGCTAAAATATAGGAAAAATATGAGGTTTTAGTTTAAAAATAGGAGAAAATAGGAATAGGCTCAAAAAATAGGAAAAAATAGGAACTGGACACCCTGAATAAGGGTTAGAATTGTGTACGAGTCGTGAAGTCCCTTCGTAGTCTCCTCTATTAAATCTTCGGTCCAGAAAACCTCATCACGAACGGCAAAGACTACTGGCTCCTGATAGATTTTGTAAGAAAGATGAAAACCTCTTTTGTTTCTTTCCCTGACAATGTTTCGCCTTGGCATTCTCTTTCAAAGCACTCCTCCACTTCAAAGTTTTCAAAATGGTCGCCCAAGGAAGTCAAAGACTCGAACCAGTCCACTTCAACTGCAAGGCCCGCAAAGCATTGTAGGCCCAAAAATAAATTCGCGATACAGCGAAAAATAATTATCAGCACGATGAAAAAATAATTCTCAATACTTGTATTAAAAATAATTCGCGGTACCACCAAAAAATTATTTGTGGTACGCATGAAAAGTTTATTCATACAACAACATAAAAAAAGTAAACAGCCTTAACAAAAAATAATTCATGCAGCTGAAAAAAAGTAACAACACACTAAAAAAATCCTGTGTAGTGATGACAAAAATACACAATGGGTCCATAATAAATGCTGCACTGGCCGAAAAAGTCACTTGTGATGCCATTTTATTATATTAATTTTGACCAGAACGGGCCTCCATACGTCACGCAGTCAAAACATTTCTTACCAGTTCGGGAGTATGCCAGTTTTGGAAGAAGCGAAAACAATGGTCTACGTCACCAACCATAACATGATCACCATGGCGATGGCCATTTTCAAAACATCCAAAATGGCAGACAAGGGAGAGGAAAGAGTATTGACAGAAATTCTCGTTTATTCTTGTTTCATCGACCCTTTTATTTGTCTTCTCCTTACTATGAATTGGGAAGTACCTTGAGGACAAGGAGTAACCATTCTTGCGCTATAGTTCTTCGCTTATTGCGCGCTTTGTAGGCACTTCGTACTCACTGCGTATGTAATCAGTACATCGAAAATAGGTAAGCACGCTAACAGGTTTGTGCCTATTTCTTTCATTAATTTTTTCTATTATAAGAAAAAAGAATGCTTTGGAAACAACTAAAAAAGGGAGTTGTTCTATAATTTATTTCCTTATGTTTGCAAAGAGTAAGTTTTACCATAATTTTTCCCGTTGCTTCTGTTTCTCTCTCGGGGAGTGAGCAACTTGCCGGAGAAGACGGCTGTAATTCAGGTTATTGTTTTGGTGTAAGCGAGTCATTTGTGAGTAAAATATCTGTTTTTTTCTAATATGATGTTCTGTTGGTGTATGTCCTGAAGCGGTTCCGTCCAGGTATACAACAGGTTTACAAGGGATTTCTGAGGGTATTGTGTCCGTGTTTTCTTCTTGAAAACCCACAAAGTGAAAATCTTGCTTATCATCCCTGATAATTTTTTCTTTGTCCCGCTTCAAAAAAACCTACTGCTTTCAATTATTCCACTGTCTGAAGTTCACGGATTATTTGCTCAAGCTTAACAAATGCAAGAGACTCTTTAGAATTTAATATACATATTGGAAAACTAAGAATGCCTGTTGTTTTTGGATATATTGATTAAAATGGCTTACTATAGTCTTGTAGTCCACCGGATTTGACCAGAGGTCAGATATCAACAGGGTTATGGGTTGTTGTAAAGTATCCTCTTATATGGGATTTGATGTATATCCGAATAATACTAAATTATTGTTTTTAACTCTGGGGTTGCCTTCAAACCAAAGGCATTGTAACTTTGAGGAGCACTTTTCTCCAAGTCTTCTCTGTGGGGACCCTCAAACAATTCTATTAGACAAGGTTTGGCCCAAAATAATAATGATTGCTGCACTTGGCATGGACACAACATAAGTTTTCCAAAGTTCTTTTACATAGTTCTCCATGGTTCTATTGAACAGCACTTTCAAGAAAACAAAGCTCACACATCAGAGTAAAGATACAATTATAAAAGTTATTAATTTTATAGTTACATTTTGTTTTTTGTAAATAAACATTTTATTTCTGGTCCTGACATAAACTACGAGCAAGGGAGCTATGCAAGTCACGCAGACCATCAGCAAAAATAAAGTAAAAAGCTGCGAATTTTACAGATTATGATTAAGCATTCTTTTTACTGATTAGGGTTTAGGTTGGGGTGAGGGTTATGATTAAGTGCTGTTTAGGGTTAAACACTTATTCACCATGGTTAGCTTTCAGTTAATTCTTTTGGTATTACTGTTTTTGATTTTTATGTATTGTTTTCAATAAGTCGTATCTGACCTGCATGACTCGCTGCCATGGCTCGCTCGCTCGCATATTATACACAGTCTTATATCTCAAAATCTTGTTTTTTTTAACAACTTCTTGGACATGAAAACCAAAAACCAAAGCTTAATTGATATAATGAAGACAGTAGCAGCTGACATAGGTCTTCAATAGTTATCTTGTGAGATGTCTCTCATGTATTATTTATTAGGGAGGATGATTTGTTGAAGACGATACATTAATATAGATGCTTTTTCATCGAGAGAATCTCAATAATTTAGGATTTATTCAAATACAAACATATTCAATATTATGACATAAAATGTGGGCTTATTGCTCATGCAAAGGTATTGATGGGGGAGAGTGTGGCATTTTTCCTGTTTCAGATTGATCTTTGCACAGCACAGGGACTGAACATATTATGTATTTGGCATTTGTAAAGTATAAACAATATTATATTGACGCAAGGGATTGAACATTATGTGGAGAAAATCTTCACAAGCCTCCACTTCCATGACTCCTTCCTCATCTATCTCCTTTAAAGCCCCTTGAATAAGGGCCACAGTCTCTTCTATGGTTGAATGGCCATTGAGTGTGAGCTTCCACTCACAAGGTATATAAGCCCCCCCCTCCAACCTGTTTCCCTCTTACCCATTTTTGAGAGGGAGGAGGGGCTTTTGTGGTGGTAGGTAAGCCTGTGACCACACTACAAAGAAACAAAAACACATGTTTGATTTTACTGAAGTAGGGTTGAATTTGGACAATAAATTTTTTATTACAGAGTAACATGAGGCGAATCTAAAGCAACATTTTGCCCTCAGAACACAAATATGTCGTTCTGAAGATATTTAACATTTGTCTTCCTCGTTCGTTTTCCCAGCTTTTTGGCACAAACGCGACAACATGTTTGTAATATGTCCAGACGTTTGTCTACATTTTGGACGGACATCCTGATCAAAATATAAGAAATCAATATAAGAACCTACTCACACTGATTTAAAACTCATTCCACACACATGATCTGGACCAATAAAGTGATTTCTAGATCAGAGTCGCATACATTGCCGGTGAACACAACCAAAAACAGACTTGATCGCTTATAACTAAAAATCCATGGACAGACTAAGGCATACCCATCAATATAGTAACCCTTCCTGTCCGTTGGCAATTTTCAATGTGTGGTTACCATTTTTACCAGGTTGTTACCATCGATGAAACTTTGCCTGAACCCCGGGGGGGGGGGGCACTGCCATATATGGGCTATATAGGTATGTGCCGCTGTGAAGGGTATGGTTTTCAAGCAGTTTACTCTAGGATAGGGTATATAAATCAGAGCGTTTGGGTCTAGAATAGGGTATTATTTTTCAGGAAACTAATCAGTTGGTTGAAGATTTTATCTAGACTAGGGAAACAGCTACTCTAGGATAGGGGGGATTTGGGAGTTTACTCTAGTATAGGGTAGCAAAATTCAGCTGAACTAGCTCTGGTATAGGTTAAGGGTTCCAGGGTCCCAGCGGCACATCCCCACCCAGAAATTCCTAAAGTACCCCCCCCCTGGCCTGAACACACCTTACACGTTGTAGTTTTGAGGAAAATTAGTCTTGATTTCGTAAAAATTCGACAAGATACTGAAAACTAAACATAAAGGCATGTACTTACATTCGATGCCCGTCAATATGGCGGCGACGTCTTCGAACGCTGTTTGATAACTGTCGATTTTAACTACCGTAATGTGGCACGAAACTGCTCTTGACATTCAAAAAGCAAGGAAAAGGCTTCTTGATCAGCACTGCTAGCTCGGAAGTCCCGGATATTGAACGAGTGGACCTGGAACAGGCTTTGAAAAAAGCTCCCTTGTAGTCCGGGGCCATTTATAATCCCGTGGGCATTTCATGAACATTTTAGTTTCTTTGAAGAAATCTATAGTTTAAGAGGTGTTGAATCGTAAAAAAAGTTGTCTGCAATTTTTTCAAAGTCATTTAAGATTAATTTATGCAAATTAGATTTTTGACCCACAAATCACCGGGTACCCGAGTCGGGCTTTGTTATACATGTCCCAAAATGCTCCCATAATGCACAAAACTGTGCATACGTTCGCTTTTAAGTCTGTTCTATCATGTAAAGCCTCTGCAATCCCTTTTCCACAGTTTTAGAATTATGACAAAAGTCTACTGTCATTGCTGTACAAATGTTAATGTTCCGTTAAGGAATGCTTAATTACAAAGTATAAATGACTTAGCATTAAGCAAAGCATTTCCTTGTCCAATAGTACTTAAATATCATGGTCTGAGTTCCAACCTAGCAGATGGGCCTATATATGAAGGTCCTCGTCGTCACTAATATCCTCTGTTATATGCTCAACTGTATCAGTGTTACTGCTTCTGTTCGTACATTTGACTTCGCATGAACCACACATATCAGTGCATTTTAGGTTGTATTTCCTGCACGAACAGCTCATTGTGATGCAGATTCCTTTGCATCCACACTTGATCAACTGCAGTACGGCCTTAGGTGCAGGTGGGAGTGTGGTTGGAACCGGCCGCAGTCTATCCCCATCTTGTTGCCATTCGTGTAATATCGGGCTAGGAATGCTGGGATTTGGGTTGTCGCAAGACTTCCAAACCAATGCAACGAGATTAGCACGTATTGTCATCTGGTGTAGAGCCCCTTTAGTAGGGGGCAGCTGTTCATCTACGTGTTGTTTCTTGCTAAAGAGCAGCCATCGAACCTCTCCTATGGTTCTTAGCTGTGTCGATGGGATGTACAACTGGCAGACAAAGCGCTCTAGCGTCATGTATATATCATCTGGGATGGTGTCGGTGGTTCCCAGGCTGGAAAAGGCATCGCGGACTGATCGTTCGGCTTTCTTTAGTGTATTCCAACAAGACACCTTGCTTTTTCCACTGATAGTGCCTGTCTGATCACTTCCTGAAAAAGCCTGAAAGCCAGGTGAAGCCTTCACAAGTTCTTCTCCTACCGCCTCGTAGAGTGGGCCTAGTGGAATACTTCTTCGTTTTCCTCCTGTTCCAACAATCACTGTAGTGTCTGGACAAAGTCTCTTGTAAACCCAGAGCGTCAGAACGAGTACGTCTGTATCTGGACTCTGAATGGTTATGGACGTTACTCTTCTGTGTGGCGTCTAGAGCATGTAACAGCATACGAGTGTCTGCTTCCTTCTGCTCGCTCCTTAAATGCTGAATCGGTAGGCTATTAGAAGCCATACAGTCACCGTTAGAGGTTACTACATACGTCGTCTGTGAGTCTTTCTTGCACTCGATAAGTTGTGTTGCAAGGAAGATAGCCAATGTCTCCTTATTCTGGCTGCAGCTCAAAAGATCCTTCATCGTGATCTTGTCAATAACAGCATCCACAGTAATCTTGTATACCACTGCTCTGCTTGTGCCCGTTCGTTCCTGGCGCGTTCCTTCCTTTAAGGAGTTTGGGATATCGTAGCGGTCAAATACAACATGCACCTCGGTGGCACCTTCAGACTTAGAATCAATGACTTCTGTGAAATGGCTTGCTAGGTCACGCCCATTTCTTACCCACGGTGGCTTTCCCATTGCCTGAACGACGGCCGTGACATCAATAATGACCACTTGCCTACTGGAGGGATCTGCAGAGTGAGGTTGTACTGTAGACGTTTGTGGTTGCTGTTGGGCCGGTAAAAGGCTTTCCAGGATGTTCATCAGCTTGCTCTTGGTAGCACAGTGTCACAAACTGCCATCAGAGAAGAAGAGTGCTCTTGGATACTCGGCTAACTCAAAGTTACTGATGGTTTCCTTTATGTGAAGATCAGGCCTTGAGAGAATGACGACTAAGAAGCGTGCGAAGAGAGCTCTATCATCCTTTTAAGGGTGCGACGCCACAAGTTGTCTTGTTCTTCTTAAAGTTTGTTTGCCAAGCAGACTTCCATGACTTCAGATTTCCTTTTTCATGGGGCTCCAAACACTTAACTTGGCCTCGACGATTCTCTCTTGAGCAAATGTGTCAGACAACGCCTGGCCGATCTTATCTCGTGTTAGGACTCCCTCCTTGATGTAATCTGGCATAACTGCTTTCGTGATGATGTTCACCAGATGACGTTCCTCTGTCGCGAAAGGGTCACTCACTTTGAGCACATTCTTCAGCTTCTGTACATTTTCATTATAGCTATTTGTTATCTCATCGCTTAAATCGTGATGATGCGATGGTGAAGCTCTTTGTACCCCCAGCATGTGCTCAGCTTGTGTCGCAAGTTCACTTAGTTCTGGCGCTACAAGGAACCATCTTGCCATGGCTGCTGGTTGCTGTGTTAGACCTTTCAGCCCTCCCCGAATCTTCATCAACTTGTTGACGTGTTCCATAGCGTGGTCCGGTCCAATTGCACAGAAAGGGATGATGTTCATCGCAACGGATGCTTGTATTACACTATCGTATACAGTTTTGTGCTCGGCATTACTTTTAGCACTTTTACTCTTCAAAAACGCCTCCATATGCAAATCACTCAAGGCAGAGTACTTTATGCTGTGAGCTGTGAGAGCGCGCTTCATATGATTTCCTTCAAGAATCTGTCGCGTTGTGGTTGAACCATACAGCCCCGCCTCTATCCATCCCTCGTCAAAGCCACTGCCATCGATTGATGCCCCAAGAGCGCGCAAAGAAGCCATTATCGTGTGCATCTCGCCAATTCGGAAAACCAGGTGGTCTAAGTCTGGGCCCTTGTGCATCTGGAGTTTCATAGCCTTCTGCTATCAGGGGCACCCAACGAGAATATAGTTCAAAACCACTTAAACATAGCATTGTTAAACGTATTTTAGTATTTAAACGGTAGATATAGGCATATTTTTATCACCTAAAAATTTTTCATCTGTTCGGATTTCCTAGCTGAAAGTCTAGTGATCCGAAAATTATAGGGATCAAAACTTACCTTTTCGAAAATTTCAGCCAGAAAAGAGGCTCCCGAAAATTCTAGGTGACCTTTTTAGGGTAAAAATTCGTTAAAAATAGGCAATTATACCATTTTTTAGATGTTCGAAAATCCTAGGAGAGGCAGGCAAGCAAGAAATTTTACAATAAATGTTTCGAAAATTCTAGATCTCAAATCGTCTTCCGAACAGATATTCTTCCGAAAATTGTCGTTGGGTGCCCCTGTGCTATAGCTGGAGGTCAATCGTAATGACACTCTTGTGGTTTTCTCCCATAACCACAGCCGTGATCTTCTGTGCCTGCATTAGTACTGTGAGCATCGTGCTCCACTCATACCCCGGAAAGTCTTATTCACAAATAAACGCATTTAAAGCAACAAGCGAACATAATTGTATATATATATATATATTCTAGGCCCTGAACAAGGTATAAAACTAATTTATTTTAATGATTCTATTGTTTTATTGTGGCAAGGTGATAATAATAAATGAATAAAACTTCATATCTTCTCGGGAAATTGGAAACACAGATGCCCAACTCGAGACAGCGCCCTTAGAAATGGGCTCACTTCATTTAAGACCAAAGAAGAATTATAAGTTACACTAGACATTTCTGGATAATTTCAAAGCCAAATAATAACAATGCATTGATTTCCAGATAATTCGTGTACACAGTAGTAATCGTCAGGTAAATATGCTTTCGCACAGTAATACCAAACAAGAAAGGAAGGATAACCTGCATAAACAAATAAGGTGTTGAGTTCTAAACCACAGGAAGACCATCAAAACGCATGCCTTGTCTTACTAGATTCAGACAGGATTATAATTATTTATTACCTGGAGTTTAAGAGTCGACCAAAACATTAAAAGAAAACTCTAAAAAGGTCCAGAATTAGACTCTTAAATTCAATGGGGATTCATTCAAGATATGTAGTAAATAACTGGAGTAAAGCTATTGACCAAGTAAAGAACAAGTGTTGCTAAAGTAAAACCTCGTGTTATTATCCTTTTAACATCCGTTCTATTCGTTTAGTCCTTGAAACAGTCAAAATGTGATTTCACTGCAGTTTTAAATGCATTTTATTCAATTCAACAAGTTCCGAATCATACTAAAGACATTTCCTTGTCAGTCCTCAACTGCAAAATGACGTCATATCTAATTTGCATAAAACAGGCCTACATAGCTTTCAAAACATTGCAGACAACGTTTTGTCGATTCAATACCATTTAAACTAGAAGTTTCCGTAAAGAAACTAAAATGTTCATAAAATGCCCACGAGAATGATTATTCCGACACATGGCCCCGGACTATTGTTTTTGGCGATTATTTTTTCCCATTTTTGCGTATTTTTAGCAGAACAATGGAATCATGACGTCATCGCTTCTTCCAAAACTGGCATACTCCCGAACTGCTTACACATACTTGGGATCTTTCCGTCTGCTACCTTATTCTCCTTAATTTTCGCGGGTTTCACGGGTTTAAAAAAATTCGCGAACTTAAAGACCCGCGAAAAATAACGACCGCGAACTTTGATCTCGCGAAATTTAATTAATGGACATAGAAAATCATGTATTTGAGTTTTCAAGGGTCCTAAACAATTTTTAACATAAGGTGTTAGTACAAGGAGCTATCATCTATCAACTTTAGATGTTAATTTTTAAAATTTTTCAAACTAAACTAGTGAGCAGCACTCTGCGAACTGTTGCTGTAAAACTTGTTTATTACTTATTTTAGCTAAAACCGTGGCCTCAAAGTTTTCTCACGCCTTGCGTAAAAAAATTTCACAGCTGCGCCTGTTCCTTTTCGTAAATCCGGCCAAACCTTCAATGTTTGCGACCATCATTAGTTTTAGTCATATTATGGCTTAAATACAGGCCTTTAGTACTTGATTGTAAAACTCCCTGAAGAAGTCTACGTTAGTTAGACGAAACGCGTAGGAGAATAAACAAGTTTTACAGCAACAGTTCGCAGGGTGCTACTCACTAGTTTAGTTTTAAAAAATTTAAAAATTGTCACATCACTAAAGGGTGGGAAAAGGCTGGCATCGCCCAACTATTAGATGAATCGTTTAGTCTTCCCCGTGAGGATCCATTTGAAGAGACTGAAGGTTCTGTTGAGATCTCCTAGAAAGGACATGTAACGATACTCTCGATACTCCATGACGACTCGGAAGAACAAGAAGACTTTTTTTATTACTGTAAGACTGACTTTTAGAGGAATACGGCTGCCGCTAAGGGACAGCATATTGGTTTTGTTTCAACTGTTGATTAACGTACAATTTTTGTAAAAAAGAAAAATAAAGTAACTTAAGCGTCAATTTAGCGAAATTAAATTCCCTGCAAACACAATTTTTCTCCGCGATCGCGAAATTAAAGATACGCGAAATGTGCCGAGAAAATTTTCGCGAAATTTAAGTCTCGCGAAAATAAAGGAGAATAAGGTATTTTCGCGCACTCTCTTGAATTTTCATGGAAATTTCTCTAATAGCAGTCGCCTCGAGGAGAGCCTCTGAAACATCTCCAGAGACCACCCACATAGCAGGAATTTCTTAACAAAATCTTTGCTCTGCCCGTCACGCTGCTGTGCGCATCACAGCGTTCGACAGAACTAAAACGCTTCAGTGGCTTCCAAAAAGGTTGAAATATGCTTTGTGAGCAGGGGGACATTTTTCACTCGCGCTTGGGTTTTTCGCTCGCCCAACCATCCACGAGGAAAATGAGGGACTACAGTAAAAACCTGCGACTAAGAACAAGGTTTTAAAGAACCTGTTACGCTAAAATTTGCCAGTTAAGCCCCAAGAATCTGTCAAGCCTAAAATTTAAAACAGGTTCTTATTTTCTAAAATATATAGAAAAATTCTAAACACTTGGGCAAATAAGATACGTCAACATTCAGGATCCTCTTTGGTGACATAGGTGCCTTAGTACTCCAATTGCAATTGTAATGGTATACAGGTTTTACCTAAGGAATGAGCTGAATACCACTAAATACTCTTAGCTACAAGTATTTTTTCTTCAGAAAACCTATTTAAGAAGCTAAATAGCCTAAATTTGTGCTAAACTTGGGAAAATGCAGATTCTTAGGCACGGGTTTTTATTGTACTCGTAATGTAGGAATGCGTTATATTAAATTTGGAATTTAAATTTTAAGATGGTTGTGTACTTTCTTAGCTTGTTACGAGATTGTAATTGTTTGCTTGAAACAAACGGTGGGAAGGGAGGGAAAAAGAAAACAAGAAAGAAAGAAAGAAGAAAAAGCATTAAATCGAGTCGACTGATAATTCAAGACCAGACAGTGCTGTAAATGACCATAACTTTTGAGATAAACTTCCTTCCGTGCAAGATAGAAGATAGAGTCCTTGATAAGCTGTATAACAGTTCCTTTCCGTACTAGACACTGAAGATCTGATCTGAACGAAACAGAATTCCTTTTAGTTGCATCACGTGTTCATGTGGATGTGTCCAGCCCAGAGAGGATAAAGGGGACAGAGAAGGCATCCCGCATACACACCCTATTCCATATTGGGATATTAGAATTGGGACTGAAAGTTACCTCGCGCGCTGCGTGGATGTTTCGTGGAGGTTTCGCATGACTAAACGCCGTGCAAAACATATCGGGCGAAGGGCAATGAAAGCGTAAAGAGATCGAGAGCATTCCTGAATATTGAAGCGAAATGAATCGGCGCTCACCTGGGAAAAGGGAATCGCTGGACTCTTTGACAACCCGTGAAATCAGTTTAACTCGAAGTTGTCGTAACCTCAGTGCGTTAATAAAATGAGAAATTTCGCCGGTCTATTGAAACCCGGTCGTTTGTATAATAAAGCAAGTAGGACGCCAAGTGTTATTTTTGTTGAATAATAAAAGGCTAATAAAAGAATAAATATCAAACCAGAATTTGCATTCTTCAAACTGTAAATTATAAATGATCCTGAGAGAATATTCAGTGTGTGAAGGATTTCCCTGCTGTACTGTTAGCTCTATACAAGAGAGGAAGGGCGATTCTTTTTTAATTTCCGTTTCGCTGACACAGCTTAGCAGAAATCTCTCTTTAGTCGTTTTCGTCGCCAAAACAAATAGCAATATCGCTCTCCGCGTCCTCCGCCATTTTTTTCTGCGTCAATTTGTGAAGGACGCGTGGCTCTGAGCGTGGGTCATCCACGTGGAACACATTCGCACTATGTGATTGGCTGTTGACTAATCTCCCTTGGGATCTATGGTCTTAAAATAAGTCGAGACGAATTACCTATGGAGTAGGGTGTGGATGGGGGATGCCTTCTCTGTCCCCTTTATCTTCTCTTGGTCCAGCCCTATCTCGTTCACAACAGGTAGTTGTGTTTCCCGTTTCAAGTAGTAATGCACAAACTTCACAAGAAGCTATCATTCACTCTAAAAAGTTGTTTTTCAACGTTAATATTGTGAATTTAGGCCTAGTAATCAATAACCTAAGGGAAAGAACGATACAATTTGTTCTACATTCATGTACAAATTGCCTGCTTTTAAGTACATAACTGACAAGTTTGTGTCATTATTAGCTTTCCAAAACCAAAATATTATATCTGTGAGGCAGACGATCATGGCATGAAAAATAGAACTCACACTCAATCTCATACTTGTAGCCCAATCCTAGCAAGGGCAATATGCGTTACTTTTCAAAGTCAAAAAATGAAATAACGTACCTCTTTTATTTACCAGATGTTTTTTTTGATAATACTTTTGTATCAAATTATATGGCCACCGGAGCCACAAGAGCCACCGGAGCCACCGGCGCCTCCGGAGCCACAACTGAGATACAAGTTCAAGTTTGAGAAGCGCGGACTTCAAGGAAATGAGTTCGAGGACTGCCTTACGTCAAAAATCGACAAACTGCTAACACGCGTAAATGTAGATGGAATCAAGACTCTGAAAGATAATGTAATTAAAGCTGTTCGAAGAGACGTTTGTTATCGAGAAAATTTATCAAACTCACATCTAGATAAACGATCCCCAAGAGCAAATAATAATGCGAAGCAGAGGGGAGTCTTGCGAAACAACGACGACACTCCAATGAAGCACAAGGTAGTTCAAGTTGGACGAGGAGGACAAAATTATAACAACTTTTTGGGGCAAACGTACCATGAAATTCAGCACAATTTGTTTGCAAATCATTTGCTAAAAATTGACGAGTCTCCTTCATTGACGAATCTCCTTCATGGAATAAACGTTAATCCAGATGAAAATCGGAAAGGATACCTTATTCGCGCAGATGGTGTAGAGCTGAGCAGTATAGAGTTCTGCAACGTCATCGACGAAATTTCTATTTTCTTTCTTCAAAAACTTGGAGGACTTAGGCCAAGGCAGCGTGTGATACTTAGTAACCAGTGGAGAAATACATTAGAATCAGTGTATGAATATTGCTTGGATATATTGGTGTACAGAAACGCGATGGACTGGTCCATTGACAATGACCTCATGTCGCGAAACTATAATGTTTGGAAAGATCACGTGATGGTAATGATTTCATTTGCAGCTTTAATGGCCGTTACTGAAATGTTGCGTAAAAAAAGTGCACCATGAAAAAATTGGTTTTCGATTTTCTGGAAATTTCGATATCCAATCGGATTTATTCTCGTTTTAGCTTTTTCATATCTATATATCAGGCAGGATACGATTCGTATGTTACTTTCAAAAATTTCGCATTTTCTGAACCGGGGTTATCCCTAGATAATAGTTTTCTGCGAGTTATTCAAATGAAGTTGTACTTCCGTACATCTGCTCATAGCAAGCACGGGCGATTACAATAGGCGAATTTTAGTCAAACGAATATTTAAGTAGTTTCTCTGAATTTCGGTTCCTGAAACCTTAAACAGTAGTAGCGATGGAGCAGATGGAGTCGGAGTCGTAATCAGCGTTTTCTAGCCCGCGTAGCTGGCGTCGAAAGGGGTAGGGGATAGGGAGGAAGGGAAAAAGGGAGGGGATTGGGGAGAGAGGGTAAAGGCGCCTGCTTTAAGAACCCCCTTTTGTTCATTGCTGCACAGGCGACCCAAGCTCGTTACATGAACGCGGACGTGACTCATGCTTGCGAGCGGTGTTGTGTTACAAACGGTTATTTACAAGCTTGTATGGGATGTAAACGGTTTTTCTTAAAAGAGAGAAAAATTGTTATGTGTTTAAATAAAATCGACGTACCCAGGAGCCCCTGACGTACCTTACTGCCTTGTTGTATTCTTTGTTGTTTTCCCGCGTCTCAGGCCGTTTTGAAGCGTTTTCGGCGAGTTAGGGCTATAGTGGTGTTCCACTGCTAAGAGAAAGCAGTGGAACACCAAATAGCGCTAACTCGCCGAAAACGCTTCAAAACGGCCTGAGACACGGACAAACAACAACCGTTTGTAACACAACACGGCTCGCAATATCCTGCGAAAACATCCGTTTCTCCGGGCGAAACGTTGCCAGCGGCGAAGAGCGAGGAGAAACGGGGATGTTTTCGCAGGTTACGCTCGCAAGCAAGAGTCACGTTCGCGTTCCTGTAGTGAGCTAACTCAGCTAAGGCACCGCCTCTGATTGCTGCGGACGCTGGCGTCCGCAAATTCCTAATTAAAAGCTTTGATGAGTAACTTATTGGCGTGTATCCTGGCGTGTATTAGTGAGAGACAAACATGATGAAGGCATCAAGGAAATGTGTTCTACTGGCATAAGCTTTGGAAGATCAAAATTACTCCAATCATGTAGCAACTTTACGTTAAAACCCGAACTGGAACCAACGTAAACTGTAATAGCTTATTTAGCAGGCAGAGACGCTCAGGAAATTTTGCATACTGGATTTGTCCCCCGGGGGGGATTTGTCCAAACACCGAGCGGCGATTCAAAGCGATTGTGATTCTTGCCAGACATCTGCAATGCCTATATTCACAAGATCGCCTTTTCCGCAAAAACCTAAACCGTCTTGAATAAACTTCTAAATGATTTGTAAAGAGAGGGCTGAAGCTTTGTTAAAAACCTTCTTTCACCATGGTTATTGGTTAAATGGTATGTTGTAGATTGAGCCCAACATTGCTGATTGATCAATATCATGCACCACAGGTAGCCCAAGCTCACTATGAGAGACCTGAACAACATTATCCCACTTAGCTAATTAATCATTCATACGACAACAGTTAATATATAGATTTAGCCAGGGCTAAAAGCGAAGCTCCCGTTAATAAATTCATAATTTAGATCAAACAATAAACTTGTAATCCACAGATCAGGGCACATTCATTTGACTTTTGAGGCAAAGGCTGAGTGATTTTAGAGAAAAATCAGAATTTGACCGTCCAAGAGTGAAACAAATTTTACATCAAGTTATTTGTACACCGAAAAATAGCAATCATGTTAGATCACAGTAGATTAGGCCTGGAAAACAAATAGACCTATTCGTGTATTGTATTTGCATTAGCTCTAGCATCATAATGTGGCATTCACCAGTCTCTCCAACATTGCTCCGTTAGAGAGACTATGGATAATTGGACAACCCCGAAATATATTTTTAAGAAACACATGCGCCACGATAGTCCTTGGTGGCAGCCAATTTACACGTTGCATTCCTCTGTCTAAAAGAAAGGCCAAAATAAAAGTCAGGCCGGATTTTTTGTGTTCGACAAGTTTAGTTTACTAGTAAATCTTGGCGACGAATCTGGTGGCGTGTAAACCAGCCTTTTAAACATACTTTTTCTCATCACGTCTCAGGTAAACAGTACACAGACCTCGGACAGAATTTGTTCTTTTTTGCCCTATTTAAACCTATAATTCTGCAGTTTTTCACAATTTTGCAAGAGAATTTGCACTCATTCAATATCCACGACGATCAAAGCACGCGCTTCCTTTGCACAACAAATTATAGCATTGAATTATAAAACGTTTTCTGTTAGAAAAATCTGGTCCTATGTGATATGCGGGGTAATAATTATGGGCTTTTAATGAAAACGATGAAAAAAATTCCCAAAATCACTTTTCGGCCAGCCGGACGGGTTCTCACTTTTGACAGGCACCAAATTTGCAGTGCGATTAATAGAGTTACCATTTACGCTTCAACATGATAGAGAAATTGTTATGTTTAGGTTTTATTTCCCTTTATTCATTAAACTGTGTATGATTTTGTTATGTGTAATCTTTAAAAGCGAGTGATATTTACGCGCGGCGTTTTGAGTATTCCTACATGCGATGTTTATGTTCGACTGGAAACAACCGGTGCAGCGATGAAAATTGCGAGAGGGACTACTAACAATCAATAAAACAAGTTTCATTCGGTGAAACTTGTACAGAGACAATAATTTTCATTCAAGAAGAGAAGTATTGAGAGTAAAGTGTCTCAGAAAATCATGAGTCAGGCAAGCATAAGCTTATTTATGTTTTAAGCCGGCTTCCCGGTGTTCGCTCTTTTTCAAGATGAACTCGAGGCAAGAAAATTGCTCAGAGCTTTCTGTTTACAGCCAAAATCATAACTAAATAATCTTCGGAACCTTTTCTTTGAATTTGCGGGTCAAAAAATGTCTAAAGGCTTTTTAAACCTGATACTATTGCAGGTTAGATCGTTGCTCGTGTTTTAACTTAAGCCGCATAAACCATACGCTCGACTTCAGGAAACCGAAAAAAAAAACATCAAAAACAATAATGGCTCAAGCTTACCAGTCGAGATGCTGCTTCTGAAGGTCATCAAGTGTTCCAGAATCGCTTGAGACTTTTCAACCTTCTTACGCCTCAAGCAAGGGCAAGTACAGTGAGTAAGCTCATTTTTGAAAACGATGCCATCCGAAATCGGATTTCCAATGACTTTGACAAGCGGTGCATTTGTCAACAAAAAGCGCAATAAACAAACCAGCCACGAATTACAGAACAATCTTGATAGCAGCTGTATTTCATTTTGTACACCAAGTAGAAAAAGACAGTTTAAAACATCACAAGATGACACAAAACTCTCTCAGCTCCAGCTATCAGTAAGCAAGTTTCCAGACGCTACAAAAATTTTCCTCATAAACTCACCTGTCAAATTTTGACCAATCAGAACATAAAAACTCGACGTAGAACGTGATCAACGCGTAACAGTGAGAAAAGTCAAAAGCGATTGCCTTCCCTGCATGTAAATGTAAAAGCCGGTTGAATTTTCGTGTCCAAGATCAGTTCGAAATCAACATTTTAAAAGTGCGGCTCATGAAACACGACTTATTTCATATGCATTTTAAAAAAATTGAACTTGAGCCTGCGATCATTTGAAAAGTAGCAACTTGTCAGCGAATACCTTCAAAATATTACTCGAACTCAGAGGGTCGATACCTGAGCCCGCGATACGGTCAGGCGATACTGGTCAGCAGAAACACTGTTTTGACAGCTGTCAATTAATCAAAACATGCATGTACAATATCAGGTTGCAGGCTCCCAAACTAGCTAGAAAGTGTGAGATTAAACATTGGTATGCCTGTGGTGCGGACGGACGGAAGCTCGGGTGGTCGGTGTACGGTCACGTGATTGCCGAATTTTCTAGGATGGATAGATTTTCTATAAAGCTATGGGGCTTCGAATTGAGCCCGTGATCAAATAAAATATCAGCGCAAAACTTTAAACACTACGTGACCTCAATAGACAGAAAAATGAGCCCGCGATCCACTGAGGTGATGATGGGCAGCGTATACTCTAGTTTGACAGCTGTCAATTAACCTTCATTAGAATGGCGAATATTCGAATTAACAGACTAGGAGTGTGAGTAGGACATTTCCGTCCGGCATGTAGTGGAAAATGCCAGATCGTGTACCTGAGCGAACCTGAGCCTTCGTTATTAGTTTTCTGATAGCGGTCTGCACATGTCCCATTTTGACAGCTGTCAATTGACCTTAATTGGGCCTGCCAATGTAACTTTAAACGACTGTCAGCCAACTGAGAGCCTTGCCCGGCGTAGTTTCGTTTTTATGTTGAATTAGTAAGTGTGACATATTATATCAGCTTATATATAGGGGCAAAACGACTGGTCTTTTATCTGAACCCGCGAGACGGTCATGTGATAATTGTCAGCGGATGTCTGATTTTGACAGCTGTCAATCTAATCATACTCATACGGATGGCTTACATAACTAAGAGGCTAGTCAAGTTGTGCAAGATCTATTGTGACATTTGACATCTGCTTACATGAAGTGTGTGTACGGACGGGCGTACGCTACGTCATAACCAAATTTTCTGGGATGGATAGTTTACCAAATTTTCTTACCCATGGTGCTCCGCTGCGCGCGCGCGGGAGCTCCGCTATAAGACGTTGTATGAGAATTATCCGATTTCTCCATAATTGAGCGAAATGTACATTTAAGTTGTCCGTTTAGTATTTTTTTATGTTTATTTGTGTGTTGACTGAGTTTCAGGCCTCTTAGGATGCCAAAGAACCCGAAAACAACACTAACCAGCTAAGCTAATTAATTATTCATACAGCAAGAAAATTATAAGACGTTGTATGGAGAAATATTCTTTGCTCAGTAAATTAGCAAACTGTACATTGAATATCGCTTTGAAGCTTCCCTTAGCGTCTTCTTGTTTTTCTTTGTATTCTGACTGCATTTCAGACCTCCTAAGCACTGTTTAATGCCTTTTTTTTGAGCGACACAGCTTTTCACTCAGATGACAGTAGAGAGAGAGAGTCATCAGTAGAGTCGCCTGGGTGAAAAACTGTCGAACCGTTTTATGGAGAAATGGGATAATTTTCTACCCTGGGTGCCAGAGACTTTTCATACGCCGTTTCCGGTTTCGGTCAAGTCCCAAAGACATTTCGGCCTGCGGCCGACACCCAGCGAAAGCTCCTCGTCGCACGCGAGAAAAAACCTCTGGTACCCAGGGTAACAATTCTCATACAACGTCTTATAACTGTTGTCGTATGAATAATTAATTAGCTAAGTGGGATAATGTTATTAAGGGCTCTCATCTTGAGCTTGGG